AAATATATTGAAAGAAAAGTATCCGTATTTGAAAAAACGATACATCGCGTTCATTCAATCTACAGAAATACATTGAAAACAAAATTGGATTACAATCTACAAAAATATAAGAATTACGAAAAATGACACGTCGCTGCCATCGAACATACTCTAATATATTCAAAGAAAATTATCATAATTATAGGTATTTGGGAACTAGTATGGTATATCTAGGCCATTCAATTTACCGAAATATATAGGAAGAAAAATATCGGAATTTGGGAAAACGATACATTGCGAAAGTCCTTTTAAACGAAATATTTTGAAAGAAATATATAGGAATTTGGAAAAACGTCGAATTGGATAGACGTCCAATTTACAAAACTCTATTAGAATAAAAAAGTCGGAATTTGGGAAACCGGTATATCGTGTCATCCCAAAGCGGCATCCTACGGCGCGGCTGCTTCCAGTCCGTCCCGCCCGCCACGCCGTTCGCGGCGAGGGCAGCCATATCGGCGGGGGCGGAAGAGCGAATCGCGGCTAACAGTGCGCAACCTTGTGTCGCCATTGACCAACCCGCCGGCCCGCCCGCCCGCGGTCTGGTCCCCTCGCGCGGGCCGCTCCGCCCAGCCGACCCCATCGCCCAGCCGGCCGCCGCCGTTGCCGCCGCCCCGTCGCGACGGCCGGAAATCACCATAAAATTACGTCCGTGGCATTAAAAGGCATGCAGCTCGCTTTACGATCGGAGGCGGGCGAGGGCGAGACCGTGCGAAAGCACCCCACACGTACCGCGTGAGCCTTTTATGCACCTCAGTCGTCAATTTTTGAAAGTTTCCAGACATTTCAAAAACTCCCGATAAAAGTTTCGAGGGCGTCACTCCGGTTTGTTTGTTTATTTGTTTACCGCAGACGAAACTGAGGTAAACATTGCGAAACCGACATTTCATTTAACCCGTATCCAGTCTGTAATCAGTACCCGATTGTTGCCAGTGGGAGACAGTCTAGTTACTGAGATTTAAGGATGGGCAGGGGGACTATGATTCGCTGAAACTTGTGTAGTGGGAAACTCAAATCATGATAACAATAAGTCAACAATTCAACTTCTCGTTCTGCTTTGTCATCATAGGCGTCGCCGTAAGCTAATCTTTATTCTCATTTTGTAATGTGAGGGATATTTCATATTCGTAGAAATCAATCTCAGAGCCTAAAGACTTGAAGACACATTTTAAGTGCGAACTAAATCGCATGAATAGAGATTTCTCTCAAATAAGAAATTCATTTTCATGAACCTTGAAGAAAATGAAAATATGGACCAGATGAATTTAAATTGTCAGGAAGACCGAAGAAATAGGCAATAAGCCAAAAAGAAGCCCAATAAATGACTGTTACTGCATGATGTTCAGTAAGTTGTCAAATATGTTTTTATTATACATTAACAATATTCAAAGTTGTAGTATAAAAATAAAAAATCCATCGTAAAACATAAGACGTTTTTTCGATTATGCAACTGCAGCCATACTTCTTTATTTAAAAATAAACCAATATTGAGCCGAATTTCTTGAATGTACTACAGATTTGGAACATATTTTGCCATAAACTAAAAAAGCTGTTTGTTCCTATTTTTATAAAATATCTTGAATAATTCTCAAAAATACATACTTTGTTTACAAACCAGACAGAATAATGAAAAAAGTATTTATGGTGCTGTTTTATTTGATATTACAAAATCATTTCATTGCTTTTTGATTTTTTCTTCTTCAATAATCACTTGAGAATTAATTTCGAGGAAACCTAATCCCTTTAGTGTGATTTATTTAATTATACTATTCGCTTCAACGTCTTCAAGAGCTGATTGTTTTCTGCATTTTTTTACTTGAAATCACTTTTCCCGAAGAAGAGTTTGGTGCATAATGTGGTACAAGAATAACTTGCCAAGCAACATAGAGGCAAATGTACACAAATTCACTATAGTAAGGCCTTCTCATGCCGATATTTTATGTGTGGAGTTGGGCTTCTTGGCTTCAATATGAACGAATTAATATTAACTGAAAGGTGACTTCATATCTCATACTTTAGTGGTCCAGAAGACTGAAATTGCTAGCTGTACTCCTCTTGAAGGCATATTATCAGTTAAACTTCAAATAAAAGTTATTAATTAGTATTTATGAAATACAATACAATATTTCATAAATTAAATTTATGAAATAGTGTTGCTGTCATCTTAGTCGCTAATTCGTGGTCATGTTCCCTTCCGTTAGTTAGTACGTAAGAATTATTTATATTTTATTGAATTATTTCCTTTTCATAAGGACATTTATGCATTTTGTAATTCACATCGTTATATTTTCTTTGTACTTTGAGCAAATATATGTCGTTTTTAGTCACCTGGGCGAATCGCCTACATCGTATCTTCTTAGCGACACTACTGACAATATTCTGTTAGAGAGGGAAACTGAAATTGTGACTTTCAAAAATGAAACTCCACAGAATGACTGCTGTGTGAGCCTGAAACTTTGAGATACTTTATATATTTTTTTTTTTAATTTCCTAAGCATTCTTTTCTCTCATAACAAATCGTTAGATCACTCGCCTTGTGGATCTCGTGAAGGGTGAGGGAACTATAGAGAGAGAGGAATGACCTTTATGGTACCGTGATAACAATCCCTGGACTCGGATACAGGTACAACATCGCTTGTAACAGTCAAGGGAGGCAGGCGAGACACGACCGTCAACTGCCCTTGCATAGAATAAAATACAAGAAAACAAGAGTAAAGTTACAAACATGCTTTGGCAAAAATGAAGCATTCTATATCACCATTCCATCCAGTGCCTACGTTGCATGTACTGCGCGTAAGAAATACTCTAAGAGCGCCCGCAGCACGTGAACGCCGCCCGGGGGGCGAGGGCGGGCGCGCGGGGGCGGGGGAGGCGCACGTACCCGTCAGGTGTTCCGTCGAGCGTGACTTCGGGGGCGGCGGCGGAGGCGGGAAGATGATGTCCTCGCTGATGCCGTTGTCGTCCACGGGGATGGTGTCCTCCTCGACGTCGGTGTCGTTTCCAGGCGTCTCGGGCGCGGTGGCCGGTGTCTCCGGGTGGCGGGCGGCGGCCGGGCCCGGCGCCGGCCCCGCCGCCTCTTTCCTCCTCCGCCTCGGGTTCGAGGTCCGCCAGCGCAGCGGCAGCGACACTCCGGGGGCGGGGCGCGACAGGGCGGCGGGGAGAGCGGCGGCGGGGCGAGTCGGGCAGGGGCGGCGGCGCGATGGGCCCGGCGCGGGACCTGGAGCTGGGGCCGGGCTGGAGCCGGGGCTGGAGCCGGAGCTGGCGCCGGTGGAGTGCGGCGGGCACCGGGGGCGTGGGCGGGGTGGGCGGTGACGGTTCGTCGTCCGCGTCGGATTCCTGCTCGGTTTCGGCGTCGTCCGGCTGGTCGCCGGTGTCCGATGACCGTAATTTAATGCTCGTGTCTGGAGAGCTGTCACCCATGGCAGCAGAGCGGCGTTCGGATTCTTGCTACGATTTTTTATACAAATTGCTCGATAATCTTTTGCAATGATGCATTCACTAACTTTAATTTCTTCTAATCTGATTTCTGAACTACATATCACAATTTCTATTTTCTATTGCTGCTTTCTCACATTTGAACAAACAATTCTCTCCACTCATTTATTACGCGCCATAAACAATAGTACATCATATCATTCAGCAAACAATCGATTGACACTGCTTTCAGATCAAAAGTACACAACACACAGTACCTCAATATCAATGCTGGTTCTTCGTTTCCATCATCCACGCACACTCTACAACACTGCACACTTCTTCTCTGCCACCGCTCCACCGCATCGTCCACATGAACATGTGCTTGCAATGTTGAACGTAATAATTTCTTTCCAAGTGGCACGACGGAACGAACCGCCTTCGGTTTTGGTTGGGTTTCGTAGCACGCGTTCGCGTTTGAAGCTGTCAGGCGCATGGAGCGGGCGTGCGGGAGAAGGGAGAGACATGCACTAAACCGGGATGGAGCGAGAGGCGCGGAGCAGGGGCGAGGGGGGGGGGGAGAGCAGAGTACGCGAAGCAGCTGATAGGGAGAAAGGGAAGAAGCCGTCGCGCGACGCTGTTGCCATCTATTGGACCACTGGCAAAATTGAAGCTCGCGCTGGACCAAACAAAAGTATTTGCTTAGAAAGTAAGAACGGGTAATTGTGGTATTATCCGCGCACGTTTTCTTGAGCCTTCGCTTCGCTAAATGCGAAAGGAGTGGGGAGTTTGGTTATTTTGACAAAAGGAATTTTACGTCGAATTTGTAATTCATTTTTCCATGCAAAATACTTTTTAATACACGGGAGCGAACATTCCTCGTCACGAGATTTTGTCTACAACACTCATTGCTATCATTTATTCTTGATGCAACTAATGTTGGGAAAGAAATAGGGGTAGTCCTCAAGAAAACGTGGGGATATAATGTAACTTCTTTAAACTACAGCACAATCTGCGTGAATTTTAAGAAGCAATTGTGTAGCATTTTTGCACGTTGCATTATTTCGAATTAGATGCGTTGTTATAAATTGAGTAAATAGAATGTACATTTTTAAATAGTATAGTGTAAATACAGAGATCCCTTGGCTATTTTGCTGCAAATATAGCACAGATTACAGCTGTTAAAATCTCAACCTTGCAACTTCATTAATAGGACCTAAACTTTGATACATGACTGACTTAATATTTGATAAAATAATGCTTAATGATCTTAATACTTTTGTATTTACTTCAATATATTCAGTTAACTTAAGTGAATCACTGTTTATCATAAATTATACATTGAAAATAATTTATACATTGAAATTATGCATCCTTACTTCAGGTTTTAAAAACAATCAAAGCTTTTTTTCACTTAACACCAAACACATTTCAATACTACAAATATTTTTCCTCAAAATAAGCAAGTGAGGTAAGAACATTATTAAAAAAGATTATCAGGTCAAAATACTCTTCTCAAGTCTATTGAAAAAAAACAAAAAAACAACATAACCACTCTAGAAGTTTTAAAAAATTTATTGAATTTTCAGTACTTGACAGTAAAATACTTCACATCAGGCACTACATTCTAGTATCGCAACAAATTATTTATATACAAGCACTTCTTTGTAGATAAATAGAGGCAAGAGTCACACATGCAATATGGATACAGAACATGCTCTTAGCACATTCTAATATTACAACTCTTAACTAGCTCCTTTCAAATTTCTGAATAATTTGCTCCGAATACACATTATAAGACAATAACCTCCAAATTTATCAAAATATATCTTGTATTGAAACAGCAAGATCAGAAACAATACATTAAGTAGCATAAGTAAATCAAAGTTTTGTTGCTAACATCTGATGATTTATTTACATGTCTCTCTTCATTAAAGATACATTACATTGTATTACTATTGCATCAATTATACTACAACTGCATTTATATGAAGTACAACAATAAACAATTTTAACAAATACAGTAGTGAATCGATGTACAAATTAGAATACAATCTTAGGACTCTCTTGCTGTCTAGACCTTATCAAATACTTATTCCAATACACTTTTCTAGAGAAAATGGCTAAAAATATCCCTTTTTACATGCAACAAGCATTAAATTAAGTGATTCAAAAGCACTAAAATTTTCCATTGAAAATACAGCAACAGGGAATATATTTTTCTGATATGGTAAAATTTTATTCTGCAAGCATGATAAGCAAATTCCTAATGCACCACACATCACACAAACATAACTACACAACAGTCTTGCAGAAAACCTCAATACACATTGTAAAACAAATTTATCAGGCTTTCTATATGATTAATTTCTTGTTGACAGATCTTGTCTACTGATTAAATTAAGGAAAGTTTCTAGAGTTTGAGTCAAAGCATAATTTTCTATGTAACCACAATAACATAATTTACTACTGAAATTTCATATATAAAAAAAAAAAAATACATTTAAAACCACCAAAAACTAGAGTAGTAAAAAAGCTGCAGTTTTCTGACTCAACCACAAGAATCACCACATTATAATTCGTTTCAATTTTCTGAAATAATTCTACAAAACATAATTAAAACCATCTAGAGGAAATGATTTCAATGCTCTGCTGATACTCGGATAACTCTTTTTTCTCACCTATTTAGAATATGTATGTTAGAATATTACAATACCAAACATGCCAACATTTGCCCATAAAATTCTAATTTAAAATGCAATCATTTTAATCTTCAACATTTTCTTTAATTTGCTTAACAAAAAATGCAGTAGCTTAAAAAATAAGTCTTTGTATTTTTTTATTCTTTTCACAAGATTTTAAATAATTCTCCAATGCATTTTCATAGCTCATGTCGCTAAAGTAAGCCATCATTTCAAATATTTTTAAAGCAAAATTTTCTGAATAACCACATGAACATAATTTTCAAGTAAAGTGAAATAACAAATTGCCAAAAACTAGAAGATGAATAGCTACAGAAAATACTTTCCATCAACCAAGTGTACTGTAGAGAGACAATTATCTTCTACACATTTCTTCAGTCTTTACACAAATTCTCCTTATCACTGTATTTAAGTGAATATAAAAGTTACTAAACTAATACAACCTATGACGTAAATAAAAGTAGTGCACTTATTGTAAGAAATTCAGCTTACAAAAATCAGAATTCAAATGGCAGCTCATTACAATAAAAACCACACATTTCAGTATGCATTCAACATGGAAGAAACTTAACAATACTTTTAGAAAAAATAAGTATAATCACAGAGGTATCTCTCTCTAGTATAATAATACAGATAAAAGGCAAAACACAACATAAAAATATTATAAGTGAATTTTCATGATAGAGTCATGAAATGACTTCTTTCTGTTATGCAATTTTGGTATAAGAAAAAAAAACAAAAAAATAACATTAGACAATCTCTAAAATCATTTACATTTACAGAAATTAACTTCATAGTTCCCTCAAAAAAGTTCTCTTCAGTAACTGCTATGCTATTTCTTTAAAAAAACATATTAAGCAACTCATTCTGTCATGAATATTCCACCACTAGAAATTTCAGATTGTTTTCTATAGGAAAATTTCAAATGGCGTATGAATGGTAGGCAAGTTATTCATATGCTCTTCAAAATACTAATGATTACCCACTGCTTTAGAATAATTTCACCAGCTTTTCTGACAATGAGAGTAATCCACAAGAATCGTTTCAAATGAAGTGTTTGCCTCTTTGGTAGAACAAAATTAACATAATTTACACTTTGATATCCAGTACCTATATTCTTGTTCTGAATTCTAGAAGGCTAGAACTTCAGGATGTTCCAATTCCTCCAGTAGGTATCCACCATGGAAAAAACATATTTCATTTTCCAACGCAACTTTGCCATGCTAATCCTCCACATGCCATGGACACAATAAAATAAATAACAACCTAAAACACAAATTAAAACAAAGGTTGTCAAAAACTTTATATACACATCAGCAGCTGAACTGAAATATTATATCTTTCAGAAAGAATGAGATAATCAAAGTTATACAATATACCTAGATAAATTGTACTACCTAATTTTGTCTTTTGTTAGCAACTTTTACAATTAGTAGATTGGAAATTATTTCTCAACAAAATTTCAATACATTTGAATAGAGAAAAAATAGTTTAGAAAATTAAAGCAATCTTAATAACATAAAAACAGCATCTGCTAAAATGGTCCCTTGCTATTCCTCAAAAATAATATAATGTAACTTCACTCTCTGTGCACGATTTCTTGAGTTTTTCTTTTGCTGAATGTGAGAGGAATGCAAGGTTTAATTAGTATTTCATCACCAGTACTTTCAAATCAATTCCACTGTTTGTTTTCCAATGCAGTTTCTGTTACACGGGAGCAAAAAAGTGTTTTCTTATGTTTTCATTGCTACTATCACTCACAATTCAATGTATAAAAGAAAATATAGGGACCCCAGAGTTCAAAAAAAGGTGCGCATATTGTACTGTTCACCCTGCATATGTCACATAGAGACTGACTAATTTTAGAGATAATTGACTTAAGTTACAACTATTAAAAAAACTAAATGTGTGTATGTGTTATCAAATCTTCCAGAACAATTAAAAAAAAAAGATAGTGGTGCAAGTTAAATGAGATAATATTATCTGCATGTATTTAACATAAAACATCATTAACTTTTTTTTTTTACTCAAGGTAAGCTTAAAGTATCCAAAGAAGGCAGACGAAAGGACAGGAAAGAGGCAGAATACGGAAAAAGAAAAAAATTGCCACACGCCACAATGAAAATTATTCAGAAAAATAAGGTTTCAATCCGAGCCCCTTATCACAAAGGAAAAAATTGTAATACAATGCAATTTGTAACAACAGCCTCTCAACACTTCCACAAAATGTAATGGTGAATATGACAAGCATGTTATGATTATCTTAATTTTGTGCCAGCCAAACTCTTTAAATTAAAGCAAAATTAAATTTTCTTGAGTAAAAAAGAACAAAAATTTTGTGTACAATCTTTCATAACTCTTCAATGTCATTTACTGATAGGAAAAATCAAAAGAAAATTAAATATCTTTCAGTTAAAATTTAGTACACCCTTAGAGAAGCGTGACGGCGGGGCTTAAGCCCTAATTACTGTATGTGCTCTAATAGAAATGAATAAAACGTACTGATTTGCGATGAAAATCAGATTTTCTTGGTTCGCCCTTCATATGCTTTGTCCCCGCCACATTATAACGCCAATTTACTTTAAAAGGCAAGTTTTCTCGCTTCGCTCGCCCGGATCTAAGTCATGGCAAGGCTCAGGCCATGTGTTCAGTGTAAACATCCTCGAGTCTATCCAACGCATTATTACCAATTCACTATTACCATCACTTTTCAAGAAAGCCTCCAGAATTCTACACTGCCTAGTGAACGCTGGAACAGCGCGAAATGCCTGTTTAAACGACTTCCTTAGGTTGTACTGTACACATTTCAGCCTCTCTTTCAAAACACACAAGATAAAAGAAATACAAACTTTTCCAAGGTATTTATGATTCCCATACAAGTTTAACTTCTTGGGGAAGGAAAAAAACAAACAAACAAACACACACACACACACACACATCACATTTCTCTTTGTAATACTCTATTTACAGCAAATGTATCTTTACAAAAAAATTTTGTATATTATTCTCATTCACTTCTAATTACTGTTGTACAATTCAACCACTTATACTGGAGCTACAAAATTAGATAAATGCAACATGAACGAAATACTTACAATAACGACAATAGTCATAATTACATACAACTTCACATTCTTCCAAAACATTGCTCTTGCTAAATTGCGGCTCGTGGTGCGAAATGTAACAGACTGTAGATAGGCAAAAGAGAAATTTTGATACAAACATTAATAAGTGTAGTCTAATAAATATCATACAGACAATATAAAAATAACCTACATTGTTGCTCAAATTATCGGTTTTACTTATCAGAAGTTCCAATCTTTCTCCTCGCATTGCCACATTATCTGTAAATAAAACAAAGTGATTAGTGCTATGAAACATGTCAACACTTCTACCAAAAAACTTTGGCTTAATTACCTATATTTTTCACCATTATATCTTTCAGTTCATCCAATTCCCCATGAACTCGAGAAATGGCATCAACTTCACGACTCTCTGAGTAATGCCTCTGTAAATGAAATATCTCATTTGAAATCTTCAAATTACATGAACATAGGTCAAACACTATAGATTTATTTTCTTGAAGGAATACTTTACCATTTCATTCTGCATAACATGCGAAAACTCCGAATTCATGGCATAGGCCAATGCTGTTTCCGCTCGAGGCCCATAAGTAACTTGGAATCTTCTCTTAATGTCATTGAGATACATAAATGCTCGCGATCTCTCAAAGACCTGCCTCAAATATACAAAATATGATCAGTAGACAGATACAATTTAAAACATGAAAATGATTTACAAGTGAAAATGTATTACTCACATCATCAGTAATACACATATAGATAATTCTATTTTCGCATATATAATGGAATAAATAACTGCCATTGGAATATGTCAATTTTGAATTGTCTGGGGCAATTTCTCCTAAAATCTGTTCTGTGACTTCCGCAAAATTTCCTGCACAAGATGCGTATTTCGCTAGGATAGTTGTTCCTCGCGCCACAACGCTAAATAATATAGGCATTTTGAATTACTGGCGTATAAATATTTTTCTTCTGAAACCACGAATCTAAAGAAAACCTATGAAACAAAGTCCAGTGTTTAAAGAAGATAAGAAACACCAATTGAATATGCAAAGTGCCACAAGTTACATATAATTAACATACCAACACGACAAAGGCAATGAACTGAAGAACGTTTTCTTCTCACAGTTCCTTTGCCACAAGGGGATCAAAAATATTGACGGAGAATAGTCATATTACGCAAAACAAAGCTCCCCTTAAACACCAAACATAGATATGCGACCCTCAGTTTTCTTCGACATTAATTATCGCGGGACACGATATTGAATAAGGTAAACATTCTCCGTACTAAACACAAAAACACCATGAATCACTAGATAAAGCTGGTCAATCAGCCATCACATGACAGTCGTCCACATGACAGTTCGGATCGGAGGCGAAGTGCGTTCTCAACTTTCTCTATTCTTTGGTGTGGAATATTCGCCCGTACAATTACTCCAAGATAATCTGAAGGCATCTTGTATTTTTAACGCCAATAACGAGGAACCCTAAATTGGTCGAAAATTAATCGACGGCATGACATAAAAAGGAAATGCGATAATTTTACTTTGATGGTAGCTGCGATGTATCAAATTAGTATGACATTGCATTAAAAATAGAAAAGAAAATAAGAATTACTAAAAATAAGTTCCTAATATACATCAACATTTTGTTGTCCCTAATTTTTATTTCCCTATCAAATATTGCAAATGCATTGACACTTTCTCATTTAAAAAACAACATGAAATTCGTTTTGCGAATTATTTTAATGTTAAATACGCTGAAATAATACACGGAAAATTTTAAACCGAAGAAATTCACAAGTATAGATTTGATTTTTTTAAAGCGGTTTCTCGTTTTTCGTTTGCAGAGTATATCTCGGTCGGTGAAATAGCCGCCATAATTTGGATTCTGCGCATCGCATCCACAGATATAATAGCTGGCTGGCAGATAGTATCAATTTGGCACAGCTCCGCCCCGCCGTCACCCTCTCGGTCACATTACAGTTTATAAAGCATCGCGAGAAATTTATTAGTCGCATGAAACTTAGGGGTTTGATTATTTTATTGACAGGATTACTATATGAAATCAGTAGCTCGTTTTTCGATGCAAACTATTTTCTATTTCTGCCTAATGGCAGGAGCAAACACTTCTGGTTATCAGAGTGTCAACAAAGTTGTTGCTTTCATTTCTTCTGAATTCAACTAATGCCAGGGCTAAGAAAACGTGGGAATATAATATCCAAGTGCCTAATGTAAGTGGATGATCGCATTCCCTATATGCATATGTATATGCATTACACTAAAAACATTGGACTATGTATGGCGTGAAATTGAAAATTATCTCAACATTCTACAGCCTACTACTCATCTATACAGCGATTTTTCCAACTCTGACCCTGGCAGGTATCAGCTGTTGACACTTTCATCCAATCGGGAGCTTGGACGTCACCATAGTAACGCCCGTGGCCCACGAGTACCGTGGGCCACGAGTAACGCCTCCTTTGTGACAGACGATATCTGTCAGGGACAGGGTTGGAAAAAATTGTAGTATAGCGACAAACTCGATAAACATGTTTATCGTGACAAGTGCGAGAGATGTCCCGCAACATTTTTTCGTGTTTGGAATGTTCCACCGCGTTTGGAACTGTCACGATACAAAAGTAGCATGTCGCAGGTCGCCCGTTCACAATACGTTGCTACATGATGTAGTCTGGATGTGTCGCGAGACGTAGTCTCGTGACCTGGGAGTTTTAGGGCCCTGCTCGTGACACGATTCTAGTCTGCAAATAGCCGCCACGTGGTATTGCTTTGTGCTGTGTCATTTTGCGATGAAACCTGTATTCTAAAACTGATTGAGAATTTACGCACCCTCCCTTGTCTTTGGGATGTAATTTCTACCCAGCATAAAACAGAGACAAGGGGAAATAAGCAATGTCCCTGGCTAAAAAAAATCACTTCCTCTATTCACGAGATGGAGAAAATTATCCACAAAATTAAATCTCAATTTAGGAGAGAGTACAAAAAACTTCCGGGATCCAAGAAGTGGCGCTTTCCCCCAACAGTCAAACTGGTTTGGTTCCCAGCCTTTTAATGTTTTTACAGCAAGGGATGGAATCGACAGGAAGTAGAAGCAACAAGGGCGAGTCCATTTAAGTTTGTCGTGCAAGCAACGTACGTCGCCAAGAGCACTCGATGAGCCGTTTCCAGTGGCAAATCCGTTTTTTCTTCAGTACCGCTTATTTTTTCGATTATTTTTCTTTGTATTAACAGTAAGTTGTTCAAGCACAAATTAAAAGAACGTAAAGCAATTTGTTCCGACATCTCTCGCCAATTTCTGGGGCAATACTCGCTCTATAGGTATGGATGCCGGACATTGTATGTCGCAAGTCTAGGGACGGAGTCTCGCAACAGTCCCCATACAAAGTCCTGCGATTTTGTTGCGAGGTATGTACTACTAGGCTTACGAGCGACAAAAGTATAAGTTTATTGAAACTACAAAACAAACTTCATAAGTGCTTCTTTCTTTTGTAAAGCGAACTACTATTGTAGCTGTAACAATGTGTCTGTAACCAATTTTAAATATCTTAGAAGAACTTTAGGTCATTTTGTATAATAATACTACTTGAACCCGCAAAAAAATTAAGCACCTAAAGCTAGCTGCGCCCGAAAATCAAACACAACTAAGCCATATTCAAAATTAAAGGCTAATTAATTACCGTATTCCCGAATTTTAGGTTCTTGTAAATTTCCCCAAATCGTAGGCGGGCGCTGATAACTTTAAGTAGTCTAAAGCTGGCAGCACACGCCGAGAAAATACAACTTCGCGTTATTGGAAGTTACCGAAATCGCATCCGCAAATAAAAGTTATTGGGAAATTAGTGGTGTTGAAAGAGCACAATCTTTCTCGACCCTTTCTAACGGTTACGTAATAATACATCGCACATCAGTGAAGCAAAATAAGTTATGAAACGAATTATCTTACTTATTTGAGCATTATGCCTTTTATTTATTGTATTTTCACGTATATTAAGTTTAAAAAATCGAATTCATTTAATTGTTTTGTTGTGTTGGTATGATCGGGCATAAAGTATTCAAAAGACCCGCGCGGGCATAAAGAATCTGAAAGACCCCGTAGGGTATTGACAATACCGTTCCTCGTTTTTCTTTCTTCAAGTCCATAAACACACAGCAATGGACAAGTAAATCATAAAACTATTTTTCCTCGGGTCTCTAAGATATTCCACGTACATTCTTAAATGTTTCATTTTCTTTTACATAAACGAATTAATATAAATCCGCGTTACTCATAGTGTGAACATGTGATGCTATATGGCCTCTATAATTTCACATACATTATAAGAAAATTTCCCCAAATTCTCATTATTAATCGAAGAATAAACGTTTCGTTTCCCTCTGGATTTAGAATTCAACATATGTATGGTAAGGGTAGGGAGGGATACCAGAATTTAAGAAAACGTTCATATAAAACATTCCCCATTGTACGTCACACTCGATTGTGTTTATGGTACTCAATTTTTCTTTCATGTAAAGTATTAGGAATAATACTAATATAAACCAAACCTAACCAATTCAAACGAAGCGCCTATGGTGCATACCTACGATTATTCCAATAGTGAGAAACAGGAGTCATATTTACTGTTTACAAATGAAATATACCATAATCAGCGATCAAAGTTCTTTAAGTAATTTGTTTGTTCTAATTTAAATTTATTACCTTCCTTCAATCTACTTTATTTTATAATAGCATTAGCTTTCTAACACCTCTCAACTTATGTTCAACATGACAATAGAAGAACACATTTTGTTAAGAAAAAAGTGTACCTTCATAATTGTAGTAGTAGGAACACAAGAAAAATTTTTAACTTTTCCGAAAAATTAGGGATTTCAACGAACATGAGATCTACACCATTCTCCATCCCTTACGCTAAGATCCAAATTTAATAATAGTAATAAAATTTTGCCAATTTTATGGATACATAGTTTAAAGAAAATAAAAATTGCTTGTACCAAAATTTCGCAAAAAATTACTCATTTAAAATAAATTGATATAATTATTTGATATGTTCTTGAAAAAAAATTTCATTAAGAAAAACATGTTTATATTCATAATTGTAGTTGAAGGAAGACAAAAAATTGAATTTTGGAAATTTTCAAAAATCAGAACTTCAATAATGAGACCTTAACCATTCTCTTAAGCCCTCTATACGCTATCCATGGTCAACATTCAATCAATATTCTTGGTGCTGTTTATGAGAAAAAAATTGTTGAAACAGGATTAAAAATTGTCTATAGTCCATGCAAAATAATGTGAAAAGTATTCTAATTAATAATAATAATAATAATAAATGTACATGAGCTTATTGCAAAAGCTTTCTTTAAAGAATAGATTTCATTAAGAAAAATAATCTCTATCTACATAATTGTAGTTGTAAAAAGACACAGAAAAAATATTAAATTTTTGCAACTTTCAAAAAATCCCGGTTTTTAATGAAAACTAGACCTGCACTTTTCTCTTACATGTCCTTCAATCCAATAATATTTAATCAAAAATGGAATTTTTTTTTTTGAAATTGTCCCAGGGGCTTCAAGTAAAGCCCCCTAAAATTAAAATATCAGTTTAAAATCCCTGATATGTAAAATTTGAATATTTTTGTTTGGATCAAAAGAGTGGTTACGTCCAATAAGATGCGAGGCAAATCTTGAATTTCCTTGGTTTTATTTCCACACTCTAATGTGTTCATTGATTATGAATACATTTTCTTCCTGACTACCCTACACACATTTATTTATTACAAAAACAGTTACAAACTGTTTGTGATGTGCTATGGGGAGAAGTTTAATTTGAAGTTCCATTTATGTCCACAAGCAAAACAAGGGGCCATCTCAGCATTTACTCAAGGAAACATGATTGATATGGGGGTCATTGACCCTGAAGCTGAAATACAATACTTGTTTCAAGTTCTTTAGAATTATACAATCCAAATGGTAAATAATACATGTAACGTCATTGTTGAAATTAATATTACTTTCTTTTTGGATGCTCAGTATAGTCTCTAATTGTATAGAAACAGTTGTGCAACAGAAAAGATATTACTTGGGACTTGAAATTTTGTATCGAATTTAATCATTTAATGTCATCTAGCGAGGTGTAGTAAAATAATGTACATTGAATGTGAATTTTTTTTAGCGAGCTGTTGACAGATGAATATGATTACAATGTTGAGTGTTGTAATTACAGACATCAGTGTTTGCTGAAAATATATTCCTGCCCTTAAGTAAGTCATTTGACAAAAAACCACTGATTCATATATCAAGAGACAAGGTAATGGTAAGATACCTAGATTAATAAAGATAGGCTTACAAGAATTATATGGGAGGATTTGCTTATTATTCATACAATTCTTTTTTGTAATCTAAAAGTCTGGAAGCTATAAGATGTATTTCCCTATCTCAGGCGGGAATGAATATTTGCAAAATATACATAATGAGCAGCACGGACGCTGACTGAATTTGAAAGAATTCTGAAAGTGTAACATAAAGAACTTAATTAGTGTTCAGTTCATTTAAATGGACAATCCATTTAATGTTTGACTCAACTGAAAGACCCAAAAATTTTGTTACCTTAAAATCAGTCAATGGCACACCATTCATTTTCAATGGAGTACAGAACTGTTTATTTGAAATGGAAAACTGTATTGAAACCATTATCTTATTGTTTACTATTAATTTGTTATCACGGAACCACTGCATTGCAGTCATTACAATTTAAAATATACACTCAATTTTTTTTATGCAACAAGTTGGTCTATTAATTTTGGAATAATAAATGAATGTGGATACAATCCAAAATTTTTGAACACTCTTGTTGAATTAAAATAAAATAAAATATTATTCAAACAGATTTTTCCTTTGAAACTTTCTGAAGAAAAGAAAAGCGTAATTTATATCCCGGTATTGATAATATGTAGGGGGTGGATTTTTTTTTTCACTTTAAACAATGGCATTTGGTAAAGAAATTCATTTTATGTTACGGCAAAATGAAATGACCCATTTTTATAAGTCATTTTTTGCATTTTTTGTCAGTTTTGACTTAAGTAATTTTTTACTTTTTTACATAATTTTTAATGCATTTTTTGCTGATTTCATCGATTTTAATATTGTTTTAATGGTACTTGCTTCAAACAATATTTACAAGGTGCAACAAATGCTCATCACAGGATTCCTGAGAAGCGTATTCAATTTATTTGCTCATATTATAATATCATGAATACTATGTAATCTAAGGATCCATGATGCCTAACGGCACCATGAGCAAACTGAGATTACGTGTAGTGTGCTCATGAATCTGTTAGCTTCTTTTACCCCCACCCCATTGTTAACCACAATCTGTACACAATTTTGACCATGTAACTTGAGTAAGTATTATCTTCACTGAAATTAATCATTTATACATTTGCTCATGGTTTAGATAATGTTGCTTGTGCTGTATCACTGAAGATAGGGAAAGTCCTCTGAAACAAGTCTGGTGTGATATGTGTTTAATTAACTATTTGAACGTTATTCATTGTGGTCCGATTACTTCTAATACATCTAAATTATGAATTAACACAAAATCTCAGCTGAAACTATAAACCTATTATAATTTTACATAACCATTTAAGTACTGAGAAAGTACATGCCATTGTAGCACCACTGGCTAACTGTATAATTGTATCTCTGGTAAGTTTGTAATACTCAGGAATCTAGCCAGAGGGAAAAAGGCACCTAATTTAAAAAAACAAAAACCGTACTTGCCAAACATCTTCAGAGACCAGGATCTTCCAACATCCGAACAGACACTGAACTTCACTTCTCATTCAAAAAACCGTAAATATGGAAAAAATGTAGATGATAATAGGTTTTTAATCACTTAAAAATGCATACGTCATAAAAATATGACCAAAGTTTAATTGTAACTCCAGAACAAATATGTAATTATAAACTATTTAAACTATTATAAAATAATTATTAACTTATAATTATAAATTAATTACAGTAATCACTGGTGATGAAATACCTTTGGTTAATACCAGGGGCTAGCTACATACAGAACGAAAAAACACAAACTTGTATTTTTAAAAAATAATTTATTATGAAACAAATATATAGAATGTTGGGAGAAAGAAATTTTAGTATGTAACTATTTACATATGCATGAAAATGATCATCGTTTTTTCCCTTTCTTCCCTTGTGGATTCTGTTGAAAACTAGGTGCAGACTTTTTGTGCTTCTTATTAATTCCCCTAGCACCTCTACCTTTTCCCTTCTTCTTGTCTGCCAATTTTCTTTTCCGATCATCCTTCTTCATGCGTGGATCAACCATTTTGTATGGTCCTTTCAAACCTGCTGGCCGAGCAGCACGTTTTCCTGCCATATGTTTCTTAGCAACAACGTATTTTATTTCAGGCTTTTTAGTAGAATTGGCATTCTTATACAACCTAGAAAGTAAACAATCCAAACAATACAAGATAAGAACAAGATATAATTACCAAAATATTTATTTACGTAAGTTCATGGATGAATGCACATTCTTAAGTGTGAAGGAAGAAGCAGAAGTCTAGCTAAGAAGAATATCCCAGAGGAGCTTGCCAACAAGTAAGGTTTGAAGCCAGCAAGATGAGCGAGTGCTAAAGAACAGAGCAGGCTGCGAATAAGAGGAGAGAGGGAACAAGTGTGGGAGGGAGGCTGGGATGGTGGAGGGAAGAAAATGTGCTGTGAGGGCAGGAGGAAAGGAGGGAATAAGCGGTGAGAGAGTGAAAAGAGGGAGGGAGGGAAGGGAGGAGGTGGGATGGGGGAAGGAGGATGGGAAGGGAGGGGGTGGGGACGGAGGGAAGGCGGATGTGAGGAAGGGAGGGAAGGAGGGAGCTAGCAAAGACAGGAAGGATGGAAAGAACAGCAAGTGAAGGAGGGGTAGGGCGATCGGCGGGAGAAACTGAATTGAACCACACTTTCATGCCAGGAGAGCATTAATTGAATATATATGTAGAATGTTAAAATATAAGAAATGTACATCAGTAATCAATTTATTAAACTTTATTTCAAAATGATACTTACTGTCTGATTTGACGTGCTTTTTCACGTTCAGACATGTCAACATTCTCCATGATGTTTTCCACTTTCTTCTTTGCCTTCTCTAATTTCTTGACAGCACGTTTCTTCTTACGTGCTTTCGCCTCTATTACTTTTTTGATAGGTCGTACATTTAATTCTTCTTGTTGCTTGCGATATTCTTTTACTAGTCCCTAGTTAAGTTGAAAGAGCAAAATTTATTACCACAAAATTAAGAATATATGAACGTATTTATCAAAACAAAAGGTAGAATATTATCCAGGATCACATGCGTTCATCTCGTGTGCCTTGAGGCTAGTAAAATAACCTTGAATCTTGTGTCACAAGCAGTCACCACAATTTGAAAGTCACAGGATAATAATTTTCGCAATGATTCAAAACTTGAAGGGCTCATTAGAACAAGTGGCTATACCACATTGTGAAATTGGGTTATTAGCATTAAATATAACATCAAATATTCTTTTAGTATAGTAACTTACTTAAATCCAGTAGGGATATCTATGCAAGTATACTGTGTTTAGAAACTATCTGTATATCAGCTTCGCAGAAACATCAGTCAAAAAAGTGGGTATCTAACACAGGTTTTAACTGTTTTTGATGTTAAATATTTTCCCAATGAGAATCCAAGCTCTTGGCTCATTGGTTAATACCTCTGTTACCCAGTAAATAGAAATACAATTTTTTTTACGATCACAGTAAATCAATGAGACCTACTCTAGTGTTGTTACAGTGACTATGGAGGTTACGGAAGATGAGAGCACTCATCCTGTGCATAAAAAAATAAAAGGAAAATATATCCTGCAAACTCAAATGAAAATATTAGAAAAAGATAAGGAATTTTTGACAAGAATATATTTTTAAAACAGAAATTTGTGCTGGTCAAAGTGCATGTTGACATTAACCTTTGCAAAAAGAATGACGTACATTCAAGTCATTTTTTAATAATGAAAACAATGCTGTGTTTTTTGATTGTCAATAGGATAATTTTAATACTCAAATTGCATATTTATTTGGAGTAATTAAGTCATTTTCTTGCAAGAGAGTACATAATAAATAAAGAACTAATATTGGTGAAACAAAAACAATTGTAAACCCAAAAAGATAACAAAATATTAATAACTTTCTAATTATTTTCAGAAAGTTTCCTCAAGTTGTGAAAAAAAGTATTTTATGAATGTATTTTATGTATTAAAAATTTATTTTTATTCACGTTCTAGTAAAACCTTCAATATCTCAAAAGTAGTTCAATGTGGGATAGCTCCTTGTTCTACAGAGCCCTTCAATTGTGGCATTGTGCATGCAGACAAGGTCCATGTGAAAGAAATAATATCATCATTACAGCAAAACTTGCTCAGTGTGGAGTCTCAAGGGACCAGTATTTTTATCCTCATTATACAATATAATTCTGCAAAATTAATGTTTGCCAGGACTACGGAAAATTTTCACATTCAATAGATTTCTGCACTGAGCAACTTTTAATGTATTTGAGTACATGAAAGTGATTACTTCTGAAATATATTTTATTTAAGAAGTCAGTCAGTCATGCCATCGTTGTAAAATGGAAAAATGTATATCATTAATATAAATTCTAATGCTTCAAAATATCCATTTCTTTTCTTATTAATGGTGAACATTTTCGATGATTTTCTAATAGACAAAATTTCATACTGAACTAGAATGTGCTTTAACCTAGGCTGCCTTAAAGGAAAATTTCAGCCTGTTAAGATTTCTGAAGTTTTTCACTCAACTACCATTTGTTATGTGAAATGCCAATTCACCTTTAAGCCAAAAGACCTTGCTGTTGTCCCACTTATTATATTAAGAGCCAAAAGCTGTTGAACTGACCTCAGGCACTGTAGATACTTTCCGCATGTGCCTTTTCTCATCTTCAGTAAACCATTCAGGTAGATGATCATCATTAAAAGCATATCTGTTCCAGCCAGCGTCTATTATATCTCTTTTAGTACGTCTAGATGAAACCATTAATGCACCCATTGCTAATGATTCAGCATCCATTTTGAAACCATTGGGTTTTTTAACTGAAAAAGGAAATAACAGTGTAAGAAAATTAGAACATTAACTCATTGAGTAAGCGAGTGAGAATACAAGTGTACTGCACTGTCATGATACATTTATCAAACTATCATGCTAACGAATGCACTAAATTCCGGTGATTTGAAGTATGATGCATAGAACCAAATGAAGTATCCCACACTTTTAGAAGGTGAACTGCTCACAGAATAATATTTGATTTACTACATGTATTGCATCTCCTTTTGCTTAAAATGGCAATTCCCCATAAACAATACAAAACAAGAGGAGTTGTGACAAACTTTTTACGTGATATGCAACAATGCCATTTCCTTATATTCATAATTAGCCAAGTAATAGCAACTTCAATTCCTGTTTTTTATATGCACAGAAAACTTCTGAAGGCTCTCCTGCAAAAGGAGTGATTTTGGAATTGCTGCCCTATTGTATTAGGGGTGCGACATAAACTAATTTAATTGCAAATAATAACAAACATAACAAAAACAAAATTACTTGCAAATAATACAAACAATAAAAGTAATGCAAATTAACAAGAACGTGGCATCCTTGACCTACCAAATTCAAATAAATACAATAAAACTAAAAAAGAAGGTGGGGGCACAGGAAAACATGTTTATCTTGTTCTGGGTATGTAATCAAACAGTATGAAAATACCCTTCACTCTCTCTAAAAGAGTACCTTCTATAATTTGGCTGCCCAGTATCTGAAAGTACTCTGGAGACTATACATTAAAGACTGCTATTGGACCAGAAAAAGTATGAATCACAGAATGTGTTCTTGACAAACTTTAAACACGTTAACTAGGAGTGTTGACAATAAAAACAAGTAATTTAACAGAACTGAGATTGGGGCTTAAAAATACAGACTTGTTCTGTGGAGAAAACATAACAAGAATCAACTACTTGATTATATTACCTGTACATAAACACATGCACTCAATTTACTTACCAGCTTTTTTTTCTTGAGCAACTACTTCAAATCCATCTTTTGCAGTATTATTTAATTTATTTTCTTTCTTTTTCTTCTTCTTATGACGTTTATCATCATCATCATCATCATCATCGTCATCACTGCCACTACCATTGCCTCTTTCTCTTTTCCTTTTTGATTTTTTTATATCAGAATGCCATTTAAACTCCTGCTCTATTTCATAATCACTTTCTTCATCATTCCCTTCGCCAGCAACATTTGGTTGCCCTCCTTCATTTGTCTTCTTGAGTTTCTTCTCCATTTCCTCCAGCTCTAAATCAGCATCTTCATCCATTTCTATATCTTTGAAAATGTCCTAGAAAAAATAATTTTGTATGATAAAGAGGAAAACAGATGGCAAAAAGGACCTGAGGAGGAGGGGAGAAAGGATGAAGGCAGGAGGAAAGGGAAGGGGAGGGGAGGCACAAGGAATGAGGATAGGGAGGAACACTGGGAGGGGGGAAAAATAGAAGAAAAAAAGAGAAAGAAGAACAAAAAGACCCTACAATAATTAATTCACAAAAACAAAAATTACCTTTTCAAACCACATGGCCGCTTTCTGTATCCGTTTTTCCTGCTTATCCCGAGGGTCCAGATCTGTTAAAAGGGGATTTGAGGGCAAGGGCTTTTGGGATGGAACTATTGCATCTTCTTCCTCCTCACTATCCTCATTACCTAAATCTGGAAAAGAGAAAATTAACTTTGAGTTTGTTACGCTAAAAAACTCCTGAACCAGCCTGCATAGATCTCTTAAATACAATTTTTAACATTATACAGGATTTAAAACATTGCACATTGCATTTATTACAAAGTAACGAGTAAAATGCAGCAATATGATAACTGCAAATTAAATATTTATGCTACGGTTAATAACAGTTATCATGTAACCTCACTTGTTATCAGTTTGTATTCAGTACAAAACCAAGATAGATTATGAGATGCCTTCTCAAGAACCTGTATCTCACAACCGGTCAATTTCGAGCACTTTTTATAGAATGCCTGCATGTACGCTATATTGAATTTGGGCATAGATTTTGTTAATTCTAGACATTTTCGCTTAGGTGTTTTGTCTGGTAACTTGCTGCGACTTGCCGCTAAGAGAATTCACCTTCATGCTTTTTGACCTGTTTTGATTTCCTTGAAGAACCTAGATTGTTGAAATTAAATTGCTGTTTTACCACACTTCACAGGAATTCACCCTGGATTCTCTTGTCTACTCTGGCCTCTCATGATTCACAACTACACTTTCTGTTGTATTTAATTGGTCTAAGCCATTGCCAATAAACGATGGACTTTAAAATGACGATGGCAGTCATAATAAGTTTGTATCACCTAAATCTAGAATTATATAACAGATGTAAATGTATTTATTTTAATGAGATTTCCTTTTCTTTTTAATAAACATGCATCTGTCAATTCAGCAACGCGATAGTCAGCAATATGCATGTTTGATTACTCTAGAATGTACATCAAACCCTGACACAGGATCACCGGATCTCCATGAGATTTCAACAGCCAGCATTATTTCGGGCAACACCAGCACTGTACAGCAACACCCCCCACCTCCTTTCATGCTTGGACCATCAAAGTGAATAAATATCATGTATGACAAGTCATTAAGTATTGCATTGTATAATGTGAGTATTATGTCATTGATGACAGGGCTGGTCCCATCACTTTGAGCCAAATACTAAGCGGGACAGCATGAAATGAAAGCTTGCATTGTCACCTCCCCCTAAAAAATTCAAGGCTGTTCACTCAGCAGGCAAGGTGATGTTCAACATTTTTTTCAATAACTGAGGTCTAATACTCATTGAATTTCTCAAGCATGGAAAAACCATTAACAGAGATGTGTACTGTGAGACACTTTGTACCCTATGCAAGACCATCAAGAGCAAATGGCCTGGGCTGCTCACAGAAGGATTGATTTAGCTCCAAGATAACTTGCATCCACACATCTTCAGGGTCACACTAAGTGTACTGGCCAATTTCAAGTGGGAGCAGCTAGAGCATCTGCCATACAGCACGGACATGTCGCCCTGTGGTTTCATCGGTTTGGTCTGCTAAAAAAATATCTCAAAGGGAAGTGTTTCAACTCGGACAATGAACTGAAGGACACATTAGAGAACTCGCTCACAGCCCCAGGAATTTTGGGAATACAGAATCTTTCAGCTCGTTAAATAGTAGGATAGTTGTGCTCAGGCTTCTGGTGATTACTGTTGAATAAGACATCAATTATACCCAGTGTTATTTTGTACCTTCTCATTTGAACACCTCGTGTATACAAACAATATGTTGTTAATGTTTTGATAATACAAGGCTAAAATGCGGTCCAGTATGTAAAACGAAGGAAAGTTAAAGAATTTCATCCTGACTGTCTAATCATGAAGGTATTTGATTCGCCAATGTATTGAGTGTTGCATATCCTATCGAATTTGGCCTAATACATTTTGTGAGAAGTTTGGTGAATGCACAAGTGTATAAGAATATTTAAGAGTCAATGTTGTTGCCCACAACAGCTGAGCATTTAGTATAACAAACTTGTATATACATACACTGAACACTCACGTTCATTTTAAGTTTGCCAATGGCAAAGTAAGAACTATTTATATTGGGCTATTGTTTTGCTAGATCAAGCAACTCGTACATGTCTGTAGGTAGAATTTAAAAGAAAGAAATAATATTTTAGAATTGTTTTGAAAGCCTGTGTTTGAATATGCAGTCCATAACTCCCAGACATTACCAAATATAACTTATTAATCTCCTCTGGACATTGTTTTGTATACTTGTTCCTTTCTTAGATTACTATGAGTAACTGCTTCCAACTTTTCAGCCAAACAATAACCTTTACAATGAATGTCAAAGCCTAAAAGATGGTGGCTAATGAAAATAGCAGCAATCTTGTCAATAATAGGAATCATTAAAGCGAACAAATATCACACAACAGTAGCTTATTTTGCAAACATGATTTTTGTAAATAACACAGTAAAGAATGAAGTGTTTGCTCACCATAACTAGGAGGATTTATTAATTATTTTTAAGATACTAAATAAATTAAAGTAGCAATTTACTAACCAAGACCTTCCTTTAAATTTATAGTATCTTCCAAGTTATCCTTTTCTTCTTCTGGCTCACTCTCTTCTTCTGTGTAATGTGTCCCTGATGTATGGAGGTGAGATGGGCCATCTTTGTCATAACTCACTACACGGGGCTCTTTCTCTTCGTCTGAGTCTTGGTCTGACTCTGCCACAACATCAGGAGTTTGCTCCACAATTTTGGCCAGAGCCTGAACAAAGAGCATGTGTCAAATGTTGCAAAGATTTATAAATTAATGTTAGCAATGTGCAGAAAATTGACATGGCTTCAAGTAAAGCCACCAAAATTAAAATATCTGTTTCAATTTCAAGGGGCAGCATCAGCCAAATTAATTGGGGAATATCAATTTTGGAGAATATCAGCTCAAGGGTTTAGCCACTGATGTTCATGACTAACATACAGATGTTTTGCTTTCGATTTTTTGGTATCAAGGACCCACAAAACATGGATTCTGGCTACACCACATATTAAGAGGACCCATCCCCCCATAAATTTAGCAAATGGATTTACTTTTACGTTACAAGAGCCCTATAATAAGATTTTTCTTCCAGAAATTCAGTTTTTTTAATGCAGCATAATATAATTTTCTCTCTACCACATAAGTAATAGAGAGAAATTAAAAAAGAGGCTCTCTATTCTTCAAGTAATTGATATCTGCATTGGCAACACAACTAAGATTGTTTACAATCTCTACTTTTAGAAATGATAATGAGAGATAATATAGAAATACGAAAAATGTACCCTCCGATTGACAAAATGTAATACAAACAAATTGAAGAACTTACTTCTTCCGTGATGTATCTCCAAGAAATATAATTTTTTCCAAGGGAAAGAATTTAAACTTTACCCTTTAGTTCAAGATTAGATTGAAAGATTTTTGGATTCTATTTATGATAGAAAAAAAAAATTGCCGTTTTTGCATACATTGTTTTGCAGCACACATAATAATACATCATACTTCTCGAATGCTTAAGAGCATACAAGACTGTGTGCAAGTGAGGTGGGATTCTAGGGTAATAAAAGTACAATAAAAACAATGGCAGCCTTTGTGTGGACAAATTGAAACTAGTTTCCATTAGTTTCTTAACATGTTTCAAAATGCTTTTAAGGACATTAAGTTATAACATTTATTAAATTATTATATTTGTAAAAAACATTCAATGCAAATAAAGCACTCAGACAACTTGAGGATAAATGATAACTTAACAATTACAATAGTTATTATTATCATCCTCAATGCAAAATCCCTTAAGGTAGCAAGTCAAAATTACAAATCAGTGGACTTTTAGATTTTCATTTTAATTAACTTGTCTCACCTGACTTTTCCATACATAATAAATTACAGGGAATGTTTTCTACTCGTTTCTGTTAGATCTCTCACCTGTCCTCCAGGAATCTGTCTCAAGGAAAAGAGGTCCAACTGTTCCACTTCTGGACCCTCATCACCTTTCAGCACCATTTTTAGATCCATTCGTGTCTGAAGTTTGCGGCGTAATTTGTTGGCCTGTTTGCGTTGACGGCGTGCTTCTTGCCTCTGCTCCAGTTCCATTGTTGCCACCTGAGTAAAATACAATAAAATTATAAGTAAAAATAATCACATAACTGAAGTGCACTAAACATTAGTTTAAAGAATGAACATTGAAAAATCAATTTTTTTACAATTGTGACTAAGGACTTAAAAAAAAAAAAAAATAATAGGTCAAAGTACTTGTTACATTATCAATAATTAAGTATCCAAGTATATAATTAATGTGTAATTGTTACGCAGGGTCTGAAATTTGCTGTTAAGGAGCACACAGCTTGTGCCCTCAAATCATCGATTTCATTTATGTGATAATCATTTTGAGTAACTTTTTAAGAATTTCAAAATTACAGGCATTACAAAAATAGTATCTAATGGTTTGCAGATTTATCTATTATTTTCCAGGAGAGTCGTAACTTTTGATGTAACCCCGGGGTGTTTATTCCATGGAAGCATTGCTTTCCCTATCATCTCCAAGGATATCTTACATCTAATTACCACTTGTCTAGTAATTTAGAATCATTTACATGTATTGCAAATCAAAACAGTTTAAAATGGGCACGTTCAATATTATCTTTCCAAAATCAGCACGTGATTCTTATTGTCACCAATAGAGAGGGTTGAGTTCACCTGTAAAGCTAATTGGAAGTACTGGGCTGACTGCATCCAGCATCTCATAGGGAATGCTATAGTCAGCAGATACAGTAGGCTTGCTCAGTCGAGCTCGCCATTGAAAGCAATCCGCCAGTACAGCGTGACTCACTGTGCTCGTGTGGTAGGCTACGTATGTAGATATCGGTCAAGTGGTATTAATTTATTTTTTCCTCGAGCTCTTATTTTCTTGGCTTCAAGGCTATCTGTCAAGGCTTCATTGACAGTTTGAAGCAAATAAGGTTTCCACCACCACTAACTTCATATTTAACAGTAATCTGTAACGGTATATATGTCACTACACGACTATAGAGGAACTACCAATAAAGGTAATCTTTTGCCGTAAGGAACTGAATTGGCTTTTTGATGCGGTGTGATGATTTGATCACTATGTTACGTTGCAATTTTCTCACGTATCACGCTACCTTGCAATGTTTGGTAATGCTATAGATCTATTTCTATATATGTACAGTATATTTTTTCTGATAATTCAAACAGACCACACCCCCAATTAGTTCAGATTATCTGGTTTCTACGGTAGTTTAAATTATCCATTTGTTGTCATATTCATGTAAGAAAATTAAAAATCTTCAATCTGAAATGTAATTGCTTCCCTAGAAAAACCTTTCACTACAGCACATATATGCAACTGATGTAACATATATTTAAGAATCATCTTATAGTAGCTGCTCAACTACCGAGTGACATTTTAAATATTCAAATTAAACAATTATACTAAAGAAATGTAATGCAGATAATAGAAATCTTCTAAAATAGCTTTCTAAAGCCAACGTCTAAGTAATCAGAGCCAGATCTTTGGAGATTTGTCATGGATTTATACTGCAGTGATGAATACTTCATTGAAGTATCTATTTCATTTCCCACTTCATGTAATCACTTTCAAAACTCTCATTTACTGACAGTTGAAGTAAATAAATTGAATGAGACAGTTTGCAACCTTTGAAGTGCTATGTTAATCTCGCAATTTATCAGAATTACACTAATATAAAGAAAGTATGTTCACATTTAATCAGGGAAAAGCAAAGAGATAAGGAGAATGGGCATACATTGTGAAGGCAGCTCAGGCGCATACTGTGCTGGAATGCTATTGGAAGAGGTATGTTATAAGCAAAAAGTAAATTACATTATTCTCTTTACTACAAATATCAAATATATCTTCCAATAGCTTGAAAGTTTTATTTTAATACACACAGACTTACTTCTTACAACTACACACACAGTCAATGGCCATGTACTAAAATGGAATTTGACATGTATTACTAGGATGATACACAATTATATTATAATAACTAATATTCAAATTCATTCATTAATAATTTATTATGATAATTAATTGGGAAAAAGTGGAAACTCAAAGTTGTGGTGTGGTACACAAAGCAAAGCTGAATCAGGAGCATCATTTAATATCAGGTGATTGAAGTTACTTATAACGCCTGTTGAATGAAAACTGTTTAATTGTTTATTAAGAAGAAGCAGGGAGTGAAGTAAATCTAAAGTTTGTCAAAAAATCTCAACTCACAGTTGTATTTTCATAGATCAAAAATATATAGTTTGTGTGTGTTCTATTCCACTTGAAGTTTAAGTTGTAATTTAAATTGTATTGGTGGTTGGCATTTATATAATTGGAGCTTGTAGCATTTGATTTGAGGCTTTGAACAATTTTGATTATATCCTCATGTTCAATGGATGAAGAGAAAAAAATTACTGCTATATTTTATTTATATTTTGCGCAAACTCAAGAGGTATTGTTGTTTTACGATACTGTCAAAACGAGACACATTATTTATGGATTTATGATTTAGTGATTCTTGGGTGACATTCATTTCAATTTGAGTATGTACTTTGCCTATTCCTAGATTTCTCAGATTTTCCAATTTGTTCTCCAATCACAGTTACTGTTGATATGTGGTGGCAATATTATATTTTAGGTTTTCCGTGCATCATTAAATTTCTAAGCATTTTGTGCCGGTTCTTAAATTGTTGGCATTTAGTTATCTGGAAGAAAGCATGAGCTGCATCTTGATCTTTCATTAAATTTTAAATTTCATCAGCAAACCATGATGCAAGAGGATGAGTAACCATATTTTACAGACTATAAGATGCACCTTAATTTTTGAGCAATATATAAAACAAATAAAATGTTTCAATTTAAACCCTCATCACATGAATATCTTTCATTTTTATCCATTATGAAACGAGATACTAACACAAATATTGTAATGTTACTGACAACTCAAGTCACTTTCAATTCAAATTTACTGACACTAGACTGCAATGTTAAACAGTGTTCTGGGTTTATGATGGCTGGGCAGGAGAGAGTGATAGCGAGCTTGTGAATAATTGTAGCTCACGTTCTTCGCATCAGTGCACTGCTGTTGCCAGTTTAACCCAATGCTGCCAGATAGGGATAGGTTTCCCACGGCATTGAATGTATGGTCATTTTTAAGACTGGCAGAAAATTTAAATCAAATGCTCCAAATTTTTATATTAAATTCGAGTATGAGACACATCTGAATTTTGGACGCAATTTATCGACGAGAAAAGTACGTCTAATAGTCCACCAAAATACTGTGCATGTGATATTTCTCAAGGTGGTTTATAGATTTTTTTCATTACAATTAATGAAAAAAAATTGTATGTATATTTGGTACAAATCAATTTCTCTCTAGGAAACTCCTAATTTTACGTACTTAAATTTTTTTTTATATAAATAAATATAATATTTGCGATGCGTTAAACTATTTTTATGACTCTTGCTGAAGTATGGTGCATGAAAAATATATATTTTTAATGAAATTAAACATTAAAAAAAGAAAACCTACATAAAATATCAACATTTTGAAAATTTTGGCTCATACTTCTTTAATTTATAGTCCGTAGGCAAAATAAAAGTATCATTTAATCAGTCTACAAAGTTTCTCGTTTGGAGAACATGCACTTTGAGAAAACTTTACATGAATATGAAAAAATTACTTTGGAGAAAAACTGAGAAAACCAGAGCTATCCAGTCGGGCAAAAATAGATGACCACCTGGGAAGCATTTGTGATATTGGTGTCTCTTAATTTATTTAGAGGCTATTGAATCTCAAGAAATGAAAAGTAGTATAGCAATGGTGAAACTTTAGCTGTGATTGTTAAGGCAAGATTACATTTCCAGCAAGAGTGGAGTTCATTACATTGCTGGTCTGAGCCTGCACCAACCTTTACAGAGTATTTAGCAGCTATTATCTGTATATAGAGGAGAGTGTAGATTAAATAAATGGTGTGTGGCATGCATGTTGTTGACAAGAACTACAAAATCTATAATGGCCTGTAAATGTTTCTACTACTGAAAATTGTAGATAAAGAGGAAGATTTTTTTTATTTGAGAGAGAAATCAACTATTTTGCATAATGTAACAACTATGAATACAATGTGATTTGTTGACACTGATAAAAAGAGTGTTTGCAGATCTCCTAGAGACACTTGCAGTCCTTTATATGACCAATTGTGAGGTGTAACCTACGTAAGAAATTGAAGATTTCACTTAGCAAGGATTTATGTATTTGTTGTTTCAGCATTTGCCCCCATGCTATGTTTATAAATATATTTCCTTAGAACATGCACACTTCTTAGTGAATACAATTGTCAAACACAAAACTTGTTTGTTTCATAAGTATCTTAACTTACCAGATTAGCTAATTTATACATTACTGGAAATTATATTAATTTTACAAAATTGGCATATTCAAAGAATGTTAATGGATGAGTTTACCCAAAAGAAAATTGTACATTGGTCTGCACGATATAATGTATGTGGTAACGTTATCAAGGTAATCTTTTCTTAATTTCCTTTTCTTTTTGTAGTATAATACGTTATTTCATAGTGAAGAAGTTATTGAGTTTGATTTATGTAACGGCTTTACAGCCTGCTGATTAATTTGACATAAAATAAAAATAAAGTTAAGAAAGTATTCGAAGAGAGATAGAAGAGCTGCAGTGGAAACAGAGTAAACAGTGAAAATTTAAAAAAATTCCCTGATCTTCGTTACTACCACAGAATCATAAATTATTCTTTGGCATCAAATACAGACTCACTAATAAAAAGGATATAATCCAAAAATTACAGAAATATCTAGGCCCCCTTATATTTGGGTTCCAAGAAAATGTGTACACTGAGAAACTACACTGATGACACTGCACCCAAGATTACTCAAAAAATAAATTTATTACCTGCACTTCCAGATTTTCAGCTTCAACTTCATCTTCATCTTGATCTTCACTCTCTTCTCTTTGCTTCAATCCCATTTCCTTAGGTATTAAATCAGCTTTCTCAGACATTATTGCATCTTCTCCTTTATCACGTTTATCTTTCATGGTCTTCCACCATGACAAGATATTTCGAATATCTTTGCGACCAAGTACTCTTATATCTTTACAGCATTCCTTCACCTCAGCTGTAGTCCTTGGGTCATTTGCTATAGTTTCATCATCAAATACAATCTAGATTACAGAAAGAAATATATATAAATAATTAATGTTTTATATGCAATAAGCATCTATCAACACCTTGCTGTCAATAGAAACAAAACAAATAAAAATATTCAAACAGTAAAGCAATACAAGAAGTAATTAGAACAATAAGATAATGATGATGATTATAATAATGATAGTAGTAATAATAAAAACAACTCTTTTGAGGGAAAAAAAATATAAGAAAGTTAATTGTTTACTGCTTCATCCTAAATTAATGAAATTTCTAATTATGCCCAACAAAGTTACATCTTAAAATCCTGAAATACAACAAATACCAAGTTATTTAATGTGATTTAGTCAGAAAACATTAAGAACTGTATGTAACTTGGAAGAGAAGTACCATCTGCGCACATTTTCTTGAGCTCCAGAATCTCCTCCCAACGTTTTAACTCTGAGTAACATCAAACTAATAGTTGAATGTTGAATAAAGGTTTCACAAAGAGCCAAGGTAGCGACTTTTAAAAACTAGACATTTTGGATCTCGAGTTATAGAAAACTTATTTGCATTGATAAAAAGCAGATTTTGATTTTTTGTAATACTAACAAAATTCTAACATACCCCCACTGTACTCTTACCACTATTAGCAAAAGATGAGTTCAAGAAAACATGCGCATAGCGAAGCTATGTAAGATACACTCTTACAATGAGGAAGGAAAACAAAAATAATTATTCTGTCCCTTTAGAGGACACTTGTTATATATCTCCATTTATATACTCCTGAAACCAAAATTTTTCTCCATTCTTGAAATGGTTAATATGCTGAACACCAGTGCTGGAGCTACAAACTTTAGAGCCCGGGGCAATGCTAAAACGAGAGTTCTACTTTCTTTTTAAAATATTTACTATTTTTTCCTATCAGTCTTGATAGGAAGTCTCTTGATTTTTCGAGGCCTCGGGCGATCGTATGGTTTGCCCATGCCTAGCACCGGCTAGTGGAAGAAGTTGACGTACTAGGAAATAAGAATCTTGAACATTTAAAACAAAAGATCAAGCCAAAATAATTTCCAAAAACTTACTTCTGTAGCTTGTTGAAGAGCAGTTACAGCATCCTTTGCAGCCAAAAACTCTGATGCAGGCATCTTGTAGTAAAATGCATCATTATCGGCATAACCTTCTGCCTTTCCTTTCTTTTCTTTCTCTGGATGGTAAACATTAATACGAGCTGTTGGTTCCATCTGAAGCTCTTCGAAAACATGTTTAGGGTCAAGGAAGCGAGCATCTAATTTATCAGGTGCAAGGTAATGCTGGCACACCACAAAAATTTCGGCAGATTCAGAGCGTGATGCTTGGGGTTTTGTTGAATGAACCTGTGAATCAAACATGAATTGAAAATTGATTATTCATTCAAGAAAATTTTACTTCTTGATTCTGCTCACCATTGTCACCAATTTCTTCCAAAGACGTAGGAACCAATGGATAAGTGAGATTATGGTTTAGTATAAAAGTTTTGGTTTGCAGCCAGGGAAGATTTTCGTAATTCAAGACTCGTTGAAAAATCCTGCAAAACACTATTTTATATAATTGAATAGAACCTAAGACTTCTACGGTTGAAACAAAAGGTTATCAAGATCTGGTAAAAGCCATTTGAAGCTACTGTTCTAGTTAATTCAGTTGCTTATTATAAAGAGGCCATTCTGAGTAGTTTGGAATTTAAAGCAACAGCAAGAGTGAAATGCCAGATGTGATTTTTCAAAACATATTGGCAGGAATCATTGATAAAATTAAAGAAAACACTTTCTATAAAATGAATTTATTAATGGCATCAATTATTTTATTTATACATCACATTTGTATATTTTAATCGTCTGTGCTATGTCAAGTGGAACTTGATATTGCGAAATCGCTCTTCCCCTCCTACATTAAGTCTCTTTCGGTTCGACAATACACAACTGTGAAGTACACAATTGGTAGATGCCCATCATGTCCAGTGTTGTGTAATTTCATATTGTTTGATTTCATTAGGATACTTTTTAATTAAACTTATCTGGGTATAAGTGAACAGTGACTTTCATTTCTCGTTCGGCTACAACAACTAGCCAAGTGGGAATCCTGAATTAGATTTCCAGCTTGCTTTCCACAAATTTTATCAAGATCAAAGTCCACCATTAAGCAGAGAAAATTGAGCTACAAGAATGAGAAAGTAACATATGTTTATTGATACATTACAACTTTCAAGACAGTTTTTTATATCATTAACTGTTTAGAAGTGGAGTGATATGAACCAAACTTCCAGTTTCTGAACCAAAAGGATTCTTATTATGTATTCCAAAACTCTCCATGAATTTCCAACGTTTTGCAAGCCCGGGGTGGTGCATAAGTGGCATTTAAATAATACTCAAAAAGACTGACGAATTAGGATCACAAAGAGTTAATTTATAAAAGTTGTAAAAATAAAACCTCCACAAATGAAAGATTTGGGAAGTTTCCGAAAAAAATATAAGAATAATGAAACTGTTATGATTTTGACAGAAAAATGAAAATATTTAATCGTCATTTCACGTATTCTCATACTGCACATTCACACTGAATTATCATATTTAGAGTCACTGCTTATAATGCAGCTGGCATCATCAGACAGCATTGAACATTGTTTCAACGAAGAGGCCACCAGTCTTTAAATATCTGCTATACTACATATATTATATTATTGCAGTATTCTTCAAGAGTGTTTTCGTTAAAATGTTTAATAGATTGCAGAGTTAGACGAGAATATTTTATTAGTTGTTCTTGAGCTGTGAGCTTACACTTCTTGCGAAATCCATTTGGAGTGGTTTTGTTCTGCAGCAGGCCCCTAGTATACCCTATTATTTAATATTTGCCTTGAAAAGATTATCCCGGCCATCTCCATGAATCCAGAAGGCACAATTCTGAGTAGTAGTTCTCTTTTTTGTTTTTTACTTATTTGTTAATGAAGGATGGTAAAAACTTTTTTGTGTGCACCCTATTATTATTAATATTAATTATGAATTATAATAAAAAACCTATCAATATAATACGTTATATTGAAAGGGTCTTTGGTATACATTATACATACCAAAAATTATATTATATAATAAAAAAAAGTTAATTTAAAATTAAAATTGTTAGATGTACATGAAAAAGTCTTCCCAACCTATGGAAATAAGGTAGCAGAGTAATCTATAAAAGAGTGGATACTTTTAAATATCTTGGCTTTATGATTTCTAGCACTAACACAGAACAGAAATGAAAGTTCATCTCAGCTAATAAAATGTGTTTTAGATCGTCAATTCCCAAAATATCCCCACCTCCCCTCAAGGGAGGCGTAGAGTCAAGTCAATGCGGACACAGGAACCATCGAACCATTAGTACTCGAAAATGCAATGTCTGAAAATTTAAAAGACATGAAGTAGGAGTGTGCTAGATCTGTTGCTCAGTTGTCTGAAAAAACAGGCTATCACTTCTTATTGGTAAAAGCTTGTTAAACTGTGCCTTTTAAAGGCAGCTGAAATTGTTCTTGGAATGAATAGTAGAAACAAATGACAAATCCTGCTTTCTGACAACACTATGAAACACCACACTGGTGGTACGGCAGAAGAAATCAAAAAACAAGTTGATGGAATAAAACATGCTTCTTTTTTTGCAAAGCAGCTGGACAAGCGTGCAGACATTTCACAATGTTCTCAGTTAAAAATTTGTTTGATGTATTGAAAATGAAAAAGTGAAAGACAAAGTACCATTTTCTACACAGTTGGCAACAACTACAAAGGATGGTGCTGTGACAAAAGCAGTCTCAGATTTTTTTGACAAATATGAACTTTCATGGGAAAAATTGTTTGGTTTATGAGCAAATGACGCTCCTTCAATGCTTGGAGGTCACCCATGCTATGTGCAAATGGTAAGAGTGAAAAAATGCTGCTATGGCTGCAATTTCTAGTTTCATACACTGACAATCCTTGGCATATAAGACGCTGGTAAATTAACTCCAGGATGTCTTAAAGCTATGCATTAACATGTTTAATTATATAAAAACAACTAAAAATACTTGACAGTTTAAAATTGTTGGCGGGAATTTAGAAACAGATCACAAAACATTTATTTCATACGGGAGTATGCTGGCTCTAAAAGAAGGTCATTTGAGCTCTGAGACAAAGGAAATTCAAACACCGAACTAACTAAGCCTGGAGTTTAAAAAAACTGTGTGTCCAAGTGAGGTTGGCTTATTTGTCTGATTTCTTCAACTAGTTGATCAAACTTGCAACCTAGATTTGCAGGGAGGAGATTAAAATATATTTACATATCGGGTTAGAACAATAAATACATTGAGAAGCTGAAATTTTGAAGGAGTAAATTATGATGGAACTGTTATTCGTGTCATACCAAATTAGTTTCAATCTTTGAAGAAACAAGCTTTAAGGGTGTTTTTGAAGCAGCACACAAATAACCAAATATCAAACCATTTGCAGCACCTCATTGAAAAATTCATTTGTAATTCCCGTACTGACAACATTCACAGATTAACAACAGATCTTTTCAATGCCAACATAGACACTCTGCTCGAAGCGCTTGAAAAATAAACTTTAGAAATAAGAAATTCTGCTGCCAAGTACAATTTTGACAAAATGTACAAATCATTGTTTGGGGTTAAGTATTACAAAGTGTACCCCAAAGCATCACAGCGAGCTTTGAGAATGTACTTTTTTCATACACCTATTTGAATGAAAAAACATTTTCAACACTTGTTGCAATTTAAATAAGTATCGGAGGAAACTTGATGTTACAAATGATTTATAATGTGATGAACACTTCTACAAAAGGTCAAAAAGACTATAATTATCTTGTAATATTGTTAAGAGTAAAAAAGTTAAGTATATTGTTATTTAATATAACACTTGTTTTTATTCATTATCAAATAAAAACATGCAAGTGGAGTGCAGCAAGTTGCCATCTTGACAGAAGGGGGGGGGGGGCATGGTAAAAAAAGCTTTGGGAACTCTTGTTCTAGATCCTTACGGCACAAATTTCATAAATTCCCAAATACCTGTAAGTACAAATCTGTAATACAATAATAAACATATAGTACTGCAACTTATTGGGCAAACCTCAAACTACAAGTATTCCCAGTAACCATTCTGTACGAAAACGGTTTCACTGCAGCTAATCATTGTAATTAGCAAGTGTGTAAATTGTAGATTGTAGATTAATCAATACATAATTCATCATTATTACACACTAAATACCACAATATTTTTATATATTACAGTAAAATCTGTCCAAGTTGGAATTGATCAGCACAAACAAACAAACAAACAAACAAACAAACAAACAAAAATTTGATTTAGGGACGTCTCCATTTTATGGAGTGTTGTCCATTTTATGTCACTTGAGATATTGGTATTTACTAGGCTGTCCAGGTGACGCCGCATCCATGGCGAAGGTGCTGACGTTTCGGTCGCCATTCTGCGACCTTCAATGGCAACCGGAACGTCAACACCTTCACCATGGACGCGGTGTCACCCAGCCAGCCTAGTAAATACTGACACTGGCCGCGGAAGCCTACGCTCTCACTTGTGATATTGATATTTCCTTTTGGAAAGTAGTTAAATAATGTAAGTATAGAAGTAATTAAAGTAAAGTAAACAATACATGATATTATTATGATTATTAAAATAAATTTACATATAATAGATTTATGGACAATATCACCAACAAATGAATATTAAACATTCTTCATTGACAGCTTCTTCATTTCAATCAGGAGTTCCCAAACATTCTTTTACAACTGAAATATAAGTTTCACCTATATATCTAATGATAGTTTTATGATTTTCACATTGTTAAAATGATTGTGAAACTCCTAAAAATACACACCATCTCACTACCTAGTGGTTGAAATCGGACTCCTAGCTGACTCTTTCAATGCTAAATTGGACACAGCCCGAAATATTATGATTTTCTGATACTGTCAGAGGGTGGGGGGTGTGGTGGATTCCCCTATGACTTATGTCTTGAGACCCAAGGCCTCTCCTTTACAGTTCTTTTGCCATGACCAAAACACATGGAATAGAGAATTTAAAACAGACTTACAGATGCACTTACAAATATCTCTTATTTCTACCAATCACATTAAATTCCTAAAAATTCCAGTATATAAATATCACCCCAATTCTCCCATAGGACATGAAATACTGTTTTGTTCCATTTTATGCTGTGTAAAATACCATATACCTTCACGTGCCAGAGAAATTTTCCAGTTAAGGCAGGTTTCCGGCTTGTGCAGGTTCAGATTTAGACAGATTTTACTGCATTATATACACTACAGTAAAAAGTTTGTCCTTTAAATTAAATCCGTCCAATATGTTTGTTATTACTTCTTTATGTCCCAATGCAGCTTATGCAAGATCCACTAATATTTCTCCAAGTCTGATAAAATAAAATGAGTTAGGCAAATAATTTGCATTATTTTTAGATTTCAACAGTCATTACCAGTTTAGATGATGGTAAATAAATACAGTTTCTCCTAGTCTTTATTTTTGGCATTTTTCACTTCCCTATGCCCAAGTTGCCCACTATTTGCAATCTGAATCTGAAAGCACAGTCATTTAAATATTATTTTACACACATTTGCTACTGATATAATATCAATTGCTATTCTTCTTGGGCAGTTCATCCAGTGTTTCGTACTTGTTCTTAGGCTGTTTTTTTGTCCAAACATGTTTGGGGAAGCAATGCCAAGCAAGCACACAAACAAGCAAGCAAGCAAGCACCGTAAGGTAGCTGCACAAGCACAATTGTAAAGGTGCTACCAATGTTAATCCTTTTCAATGGAGTTGCCACAAAGAGTGTAACTCTAAGCAGTTGGCCATGTTAGGTATCTGATCATGGAAGTGTTATTTTTCAGACATTATTAGGAGTAAACTGTTATTTCGATATCTGTTATTGGAGAAAAGCTTTTAAGCCCAACTTCTCTGAGCAAATGTTGAGATCCTGGAATGGAAAAACCTACCCAGGCCAAATAACTAAAATGGTCAGCAGCCAAAGAAATGCAATTTGGAACTGACAAAAATATGTCAGATCAGATACTGAGGGTGAAATTAAAATCCAAAAGCAAACAATGGTTGTGAGACACATTATGAATGGGGAATTATAAACTATCAAAATTGGTCTTCTCTAGTGATCTAGTGGGGAAGAGCAGGACAAGGAAAACCATGACTGAAATGTCTGGAAGATATTTTTATTTATTGTATGTCAAAAACAGGTGAAAACTGTGTTTTATGCGCAAGGAGAGAAGTGTACTCTGTACATTTTTACTTAATTCTGGGATCCCTACCTAAAACCGTATACACGTTGAATCCTGAAAGAAAGAAATGAGAGTTTTTGGCAAGAATTGCTAACAAAATATTCATTCCAATGTAATAAAATATATTTTCAAAGGTAAATCAGCTTTAGATTTTGGTTCTCATCCTTCATCATGTCCTTTGGGAAGAATATATTATAAGATAATGGTGTAAAATTTATGACCAGATGGGAAACACAGGGCCATCTCGGCATTTGCTCAAGGGATCAAGGAAACTGGTTGAAGATGGGGGAGGAGTCATTGACCCAAAAGCTGAGGTTCACTACTCGTTACAGGTTGTTTACATATAGGGAAATAGCAAATAAAGTAGATAATGAAATAAACTCTAAAACAGTGGGTGTGAAGGGTAAGAGAAGAAGTGCTATGGATAGAAATGAATAGGCAATCATAGAGATCATGAGAGATACCAAGGCTACACTGATAGGGCCTTATTGTAACAGAAAAAGTAATCTGCTATTCATAAAAATTGGAGTAATTTTTTGAGAAAAAGAAAGGAAGTTTCAGATGAATTACCCACAAAAATTGATAGATTTTTATGTGTAGAAATACACCAACAGCTCTTACTCCTGATGTATTTACCATGATTAGAACTCAAAAACGTCCAATCCCATCGTCACCCATCTACCCACAACACACAGGAAAATCAAAGCTACAAGTTGAGAATTTTCACATAAAAATAGTTTGAGGGTCATTAAGAAAAATTTGTTAATTGAAAATCCTATTATATACACATGTAATTCTATAATGTAATACAATGAAACATGACCACAACTTACCTTCTTAAACAGCTGCTTGAACACCCACAATAGTGGATTGTAATCCCTGGATCGGAATACTTTTGTGACGAACCACCCACCAGGCCGAAGGAAGTGAGTAGCAAGTTTCAAAGCACTTAGAGTCAGTGTAGCCTGCTGATAGGCATCATGAAGCCAGTTTTTACCTGCACAGCCATTCACTCAGTCAGTAAATATTAGATAATAGATTTTTACAGAAACAAATATTGCCGATTTCTTGATGCTTTCATGTTAAAACATTAAAAATTGTCATATACATCAACATTCCTAAATTAATGAATATGCATGTTAAATTCAATTTATATATCACATAATCAATGCATTTATTTTTAAGAAAAGCAATAAAGTACAAATTTTGGAGTGATCTTGGCCACTTCATAAAAATGCACTGATAGTTTTGTTGGCTAGACTGAAAAATGTTTTGTGAATAATGATGAGGCTTAAGGCCAAAGCCTTGCCATTTACATGCAACATAGAAGTGACTCAACTTTGCCATAAAAGTATTTAAATACATTGCAATTTTACAAATTCTAGAATCAAGGAATAATTTCTTAGATGTTAATGTCAAAAAAAGACATACAATAGATGAAATACATGTGCATAAAAACAATAAATATACTTATTTGTTATGTACAATACACAGGCCTCTCAGCCTTAGAAGTTAAAAAAGTTAAACAGCCAGTAAATAGTGAGTAAGGAAAAAAAACAATGATGCTACAGATACTCTAGCTTTATATGAAAACTTATTTATATGTAGTATCAAATTATACTCTTATGCACAGAACATTAAAAATCCACTAACATTAATTTATATACTTCGCTACCTTGTCACAATTGGAAAATTAATGATTACATGGGAATATGTTTCCAGTTTTCACAATTGTCAACTATCGTTAAAACCCCATATCTCTTAAGTATAATGTAACTGTTATAAATAATGTTTTAAGAGTTCAAAGAATTGTCTGACCCGTTTTCTTTAAACTCTACAATCTCCAAATTTCAAATGCCGCTGCATGATTTATTGAATAACTCTAAAAGGAAATGTGATCCTATTCATCCAAAAATTGTTGAAACCTAATTTTATTATAACCTTGAGCTGTCATTTTCTTCTACCGAGACCACAATTATGGACCATTTACAGAACAACAGACACATTTTACTTCTGACAGTTCCCCTCCCTACACGTATGTCAAAAGTAACAATTCATAATTAGGGGAATTCAGCAATGTCATGCTTCCTGGTTTTAATGATCTAGTGTCTGACAAAACTATTTATATTTCAGTTATAATGCATGTAAAACAGCAGCACATACTTTCTCATTTCATTCGTAACAGTTGCATAACATATTGTACTTTCTATCCTATCAATGCTTCATTTGAGTTTTTCACTTGAAAATGATGCATGAGCAATTCACAAAACAAGCCGCCTAACTTTTTTTTTTCATCAAAAGTTTTAAGTTAATTCAGTAGATTGTTTCCTCAGAAAGTTTAAAGAAACAAAAAAGGATTTCCTTTGGAAATAATTTGAACTTCTATGCTTATGGTTCCAAGTAATATCTAGACCACTTGCCTACTTACAAACTGACTCCACAAAAGAGGTACTTCGAGTATAATTAATGGACAGTGACTTTTTGGGTGAAATGAGGACAATTGAGTACAATTGAGAACTTCCTCTTTCACTTTCACTTTTTTTTAAAATTATTTTATTTATTAAATTTTTTTTGTTGAATCATGGCTTTATCTCCAATGCAAGAAATTTCAAGAAGAGAGAGCAAATGAAAATAAAATTTACTTCTGAGCTATGGCTTGCAAAGCTCGTTGCATGAAGATGGTAATATCAGATCGCATTTTCCTCAGTAATGTAAAATATCCATTAATATTATTTCATTCCAATAACCTCAACTGACATTTTTGTAAAACCAAATTCATTTTTAAAGTGGACAGACGGAAGAGCAGGCCTTATGGCCTGAGCTTCACCATAAAGATGACAATTTTTTTTAATAATAATAACAAAATATTATTAATTACCACCACCCCCACCCATTCTCATGATCTGACTCAAAATTTTCCCAAAACTATTTATATTAAAAAAAAATTGTTTAAGACATCAATTTAAAATTTGATGTCATAGAAAATAACACATTTGTTGTTTTGTCAGTCTTTAGGAATAGAAGTTAACCTGCATTATTGACTGAAGTTGTGGGTAAATTGAAAATTTTGATTGAAGAAACACAGAGCAGGATATGATGTATTAATGTTGAATTTTCCGTTATAAGGCAATTTTTGTTAATCCTTTGAATTCTTTATATCATGAGATTTTTAAACATGCACTTAACAACATGGTAATTGGAATTTTCTTTTGTGAGATAGATACTTCCTGTAATTGGAATTTTCTTTTGTGAGATAGATACTTCCTGTAGCAAGTACGTGTGTTTGTCAAGATGAAATTGTTAAAGAGGTAGGGACTAAATTTAAAATGTACCCTTCACATCTTGTAAAATTTATACACTCCAGAAAAGGAACTACAGATGGAAATGTAGGTCAGTCACATACGGTGATTATGATGGGGGAATTGTTTGCAATTTATTCAACAAAAAGAAAGAAGAAACACTAAGACATTGTAACACTTATCCCCATTTGAAATTACAAGTTACTGCAACCATTCCCTATTACCCTGTAGAAGGAAACAAAAGATTATGAACTTAAATAATATAGTTTCTGATAGTTTCAACTGATAAACGCATCAATACATTTCCCCAAAGGGGAGGAAAACAACCACTACCACCACCGCAACTGCCAACTTCAAATTTTTTGGTACCAAAGACAATTTCTACTCTAGCTGATCAAAATAACTCACCAACATTAGGAGCACCATCATGTAAGAAAACATCAGCTTTCCATGTCTGCAAAGCTTTTTGAAGTGACACCCGGCACTTATCTGTTGTAATATCCTCCTGCAAGCTGACACACCCGAATACAGGTTTAATGGGGAACAAATCAATTCCTGTAAAAAAGTTACAACGAATGGAATTAGTCAATAGTTTTGTAAGAATAAAATCTTAATTAATGCACAAATTATTTTCAGAAAACAAGAGAAAGTTTGAATTAATGTGCCTTACTATGCAGCAGAACTGCAAAATTTCATGTCAGCTAATGAAATCAATTTAACTCAGATGAATCTAAATAAATAATCAAAATCTTCAATGAAACCATTAATTACAAGGTTTTCCCTACCTTATTTTGTAATGAACTGAGATTATTCTATAAATAGAATGTACTTAAATTATTGTAAAATTGGGAGATTGCCAATATCTCTATTTTGATTTTAAATAGAAGGGTTTCTCTGAGATTCCAAAATTACTGCCTTTTTATAATTGCACTTTATCATTACGTGGTATATAAAGCAATGTGTTTTAACATATTTTTTTTCCTGTCAGTAAACCAAATTCAATACGGGTGTCAGAGAAAGGTGAAGTCTTTTCTGGGTTGGATAAAATACTTCAAATTCAGTATTTAAATACTTCACCAAAATACTTTGTAAATAAGTATTTAAACACATACTCAAAATATAGTAAATACAATTATAATATATTTTTATTACAATAGTATACAGTAATTGTTAATTACAATAAATTAGTAATTGATAGTCCTACAAATTTCTGAAGAACACAAATTATAATATACATTTTCTTACGTAAAACGATATCAAAAATGTCTACCTCAAAAGGAATTTCCTTTTAAAACCACTAATTTTAGAAGCAAATCATCTAGACGATATATTACTAACTGGTGAATATGTAAAACCTGCAATGGAAAACAGTCGTTCAAATGGTAGGGATGAACAAAAACCAATTTTATAACGAATAACCTTTTATTTTTGGATAATTGACCAGCATTTACAATGATTTAGATTTTAAAATGAAGAGAATTCCAATTTAACAGCTGAAAGGGGTTTTTAATTTGGTTTAATTAGGTGTGTGCAAAATCAATTACCCCCTCCCAAGGTTATTAACTGGTTTATCATATGAATCATTTATTTCAGAAACCCTTCAAACTCCTAAATCTAAAACACGCATTAGTAGTGGATTATTGTTCCCAGAGGATAGATGGAGCATTTAGTGCATATCTACATAAAAAATATTCATTTATCAACTGCTTTAAAAAATAAAAATATTTTGAAAACCGAAAAATTGGGAGACCTTTTCTGAGTTTTTTCAAAATTAGGAATTTCGCGTCGGACGGGTTTCTGAAACAAACGATTCATATGGCTTAATATTCGGCTATAAATTCATATGGCTGACATATTTGGATTTATTTTTAGTTGGTGAGTCTGATTTTGCCAAGAAATCACTGCTAGTAAAAGGGTGCCATAATAACGAAGTTTTTCCATTTTGCAATTAAACCAAAAAAAGTAAACAAAATATTTTTAAGCATATCTGGGTTAACTGTTCTACACTATGGAATGAAAGGGTAATTTCAATTATTTCTATCAATTAATCAATCAATCAATATATAAAAGATATATAAGAATCCTAATATTTAAATACTTGTATTAGAAGTATCTACCTCTAATACAAGTATTTAAATATTGCCCAATCCTGAGCGTTTTGTCGATCTACTTAGGATTCTTACTTTTCAAATTATTATTTTCTTTTTTATAGAAGAGTCTATTTGTTATTTTATACAAATCTTCAGTTTTTAATTCTGATCTTAATGAACTTTTGTAAAAATTACTTGTCTCCCTTTCGTACCTCTTTTGCAACATTAATGGGTGTTCCCTTTCCATGTTTTTCAAATATCTAGAAAACAGAAAGTAAACTCGCCAATTAAACATTTCTGAAGAACATAAAATTTCACACAAAATTCATTTTGATTTGTTCCGAAAGCACCAATAGCCTCAACTGAAGATCAAAAATAGTACTTGAGGTTTGCCATGAGTGTGCAACAATGTATCTGAACAGCTGGCCACATCAATGATGATGGAAGCAACACAGTTATTTCAATTGGTGGCTCTATACTTTTATGTAGGGGACCAGGACAAAACATTTCAATAATAAGTGTTCCCTTTTATGTGATTTATCGAAAGACACTACATTAGGGTTCACATTGTGTTGTTTTGATATTTTCTTTTATCTTTAGAATTATTTCAGAAAAATCAGCTTTTTATTTTATAATTTGTGAAACAGGTTTCTTAAGTCTTTTACTCAAATTACGTTTTTTGATTCATCATTATTAATGTCATAGTTTAATTTTGTCTCAACATTTTTGATGCTCTACCACCAGGGGTTGACTATTAGTTAAAGGAGTTTAAAAAGTAGGGGGGTTTAAAAACAGTTTTCTTCACAACTTTTCAACATTAGCTGAGGTTTGAGGTGTCTAAATTGTACCACATACATTTCGTTAACTTTTAGGTTTAGCTTACTGCATCTTAGATATCTGGAAATTTCATGCATTGCCTCCGTCATTATTTCAATAATAAAAAGTCTTTATTACTAATAATTACTGTTGAGTTATCTACAAGTTCCATTTATTTTTAGATGATATATCATTCACAGATATTAGAAATAGTAGTGGTCCCAATACTGATTATTGCAGAACTCCTGACAAAACCACAGCAAAATTAGATTTAATTTATCAATATATTTTTCTGCTTCCCAATACATTTGTACATTTTGTTCATGGTTTGTTAGGTACGACTTCAGTAATTCATGAATACTGCGTCTCATATTCCAAAATTTCTAGTTTTTCAAGAAGTCGATTAAGAGACCTCGTCAAAAGCATTTAATAAGCCCATAAATAAACCAGGAGTAAAAGTTATATTCTACATTACTTATTATTTCATAAAAAAACTAGCAACTGCAGTAATAGTGGATTTATCCTTTCAGAATCGATCTTGTTAAGTCCTTAAATCCCCACCCCAAAATAATTGTACATTCCGACTGCTATTACGCTTTCAAAGAATTTTGCAAAACAAATTGTAAAAGTTATTTGGTCTAGTTTTCAATTTCAGCAGCATTCTTTCTTAAATACTGATTTTGTAATAACTGATTTTCAGTGTATCGGGAAAACATGCATCTAGTTTATTGTTAATTAGGTCTAAAATTTTAGTACTGAATGCTAGCATTTTTTCAGCATTTTTGTTGCAACCACATCCCACCAACTTGATTTCCTATTATTTAGTGTTTGGATCATTTCTTAAAATTTTGTGGCATCTGAACAGGAAATAGAAATTAAACACCTCTTCTAGCAAAGGTTTATTTCAATATCTGTATTTAGGATACGATCATTGAACAATTCACAAAATAATGTCGGATCACTTACTTGCCTTCATTGAACAACTTTACATTATTGTTTAGTTGCTTGTTTATTTGTATTATTGACAATATTCATTAATATTTTGGATTTATTTTTTGCATTTTCTATTTTGTTATTAATTCGGTTTCCTTTGCAATCCTTAGTTCTTTTTGATACAATTTTCTGTAACTTTCATTGCGTTCTTTATGCTCCGTTATCTTAGTACGATGGTATGATTAGGACGATTCATTCATGTTTTCTTTAATTTCAATAACTGCAATTGGTAGTTAACATTTTCTTATTTGTTTGATAATTGCAAGTTTTTTATTGGCTATGAATTTATGTTAATTTTGTAATATCTTAAATACATTACATGTGTTGTTTAAGTTTTGTTCTGATAGTTCACACACTAAGTTTGGAAAGATTTTTGTATATGTATCATCTTATAAATGAGAATTTATATTTATTTTGACAAGTTTGCAGTTCAGTTACAAATGACAATTATTTGCGCTTTGTTATCAGAAACATGTAAACCTAGATTACAAGTCGTGTAGTTTCTTGGTGTTGTATTTGTTATTATATAATCAAAGGCACAACTAGAGTTTTCTGTAATTTGTGTAGGTCCTAGCATTATGTCATAATGTAACACCCCTTAATTATTTATCTTCAATTATTATCTGTGGGGTGCAATCAGTATAGGGAACATGGACAGGGTTATGATAATTCAGAAACAAGATCTTGGATGAATATTTCAGCTGCAACCTAACAAATCTCGTAAAAATCTCCATAAATACAAAATAATGACTGTCGTTGCAATTTATGCATATAGGGTAGTTATGCTCATGAAAAACTAACTGTCATCTTATTGAAAATAAATACATATATCAATACAATACAAGAGGAAAATATAACTATCACAGGACGTACTCAGCAAAATCTTCCTCAAAGAAGGACCCTTATCAGAACGCTGCATTACTCTTCAATAAACTACCTAATCGTAAAAAGATGTTAAGAAACAAAATTCAAAAAAGCACTACAAAATAACCTAATTGAAACTTGCCCATATAAATTAAAGGAATTAACATATGTAGAGAGAGCAATGTTACAATAATTATATATTCTTTACTTCAGGATAAATTATTTAATTTCTCTGGGATAAGTAATTTAGGTTTAAATTGGCATTTCTATTAAATATATGAAATGTAAATAATTGTGAATACTACACTATATAAAATTGTATAAAGAAATATAACCAAGTGTAAGAGAGAGAATAATTAATGTTTACTTATCTATGACAATGCTTCACGACTTGTAATATCGAGAAAATATGAGAAAATAAATTATCATCATCATTATTATTATTAAATGCTCTAATTTCATTTACATTTAAACAATGTTCAGTAAAGAACACTGGGCTCCTGTATCTTGTAAGGCACTTCCTATATGAAAATTAATATAAGAATAATGAAGACATTTAGTAACGAGAAGTTAATGTTAGAAATATTCACCTCTGTGAGATATTACTTAGAGTTGAAGGGGAAGCTTCAAGGTACATTTCTATGAAAGAAACATTTTCTGATTACTTGAGTAAAATTAAAATATGTTCAAAATAGTTGAAACTGGGGGAAGGAGATTGAAAAATGAAAAAGAAAATGGAAAAGAAGAAACGCACACCAACAACTGCTGACATTCAAAGTTTTAATAAATATTACTGTAGAAAATTCTGCTGAGTTAAAATTTCCTTATATATGGCAAAGAATCTACAAAGGAATGGATACAGTTTTCTAGAGCAAAATTAACTCCCTGACAGATACACCATTTAAACTTGCAAAAGTGTACACATCCGTACCTTTAAATAAATGTGTATTTTTGTGGTTGAAAGAAGTGAATTTATGAGAAATGGGATAATAGCAAAAGACCCTAACTAAATATAGTTTTTCTTTAATTTGAAACAATCCACATACACTTATATTAAAACATAATCACCTTTTCATAATGAAAGCATAAAACTAAATACAAAACTGATGAAAATAATAAAAGGATAGTGAACTGCAACTTTAGCTGGTTAGGTTAATTTATCAATATTAGAATACCTTATTAAACAATTTTATATTTTCTTGAAAGGCTAAGGGATTAGTTGTAAATAAAAAATTCAATACATATAAATAATGAAAGAATTATTCACGGTACATGTTTTTCAGGGCATACATGTTTCTGTTACACAATCAAATTTATCACTGAAATGATGCATCAGACTTAGCAATCTGCTAGTCAATTCTGCCAAATACCTTAAATCAAAGCATACCACCCACAATAAAAACCTTATGTGAATGAATTATGTGAAAACTGACATTGAAGCAGTAAGAGCTAGCAAGCACTTGACCATGTTAAGCATTAATTTTGTTATGACATACACTCAATGCACACACAACCTGCCTCTTCAAAGTTTACAACCGACTTCATTTCACTAACTGAAAATGTATTTCCATGAACAGAACCCACTCTTACATTACATTGGCTCTCCCAATCACAATGCGCCGAAGGGGGCAGTACATGCCACAACAGGAACAGACAGAATTGGTATTTCATGAATATATATGATCTTCTAAAGGCCCTCAAGACTCCTTCCCTTCAATTCTTCATTTTAATCACAGGGACATTAATTTTTTTCTCATCGGACACACATTGATGAAACAATTTACATTTATTCCATACCATGGCACACTCTACATCCAATTGGATTAAACCACAAAATATTGTTACACTTACCAATTACGAGACTAGAGACAGGCATGGTCTCTTTCGCCACTTGCATCCATCCTCCTGGGGCGGCACACAAATCGACGCACACGCGAGACTTTTGAAGAAACTCAAACCTGCGGTTTAGCTGTACCAATTTGAAAGCCGCACGAGATCGGTAACCTAAAAAAAATATGATTGAACATAATTGTCTCTTCTTCTTCAATTAAAATAGTGTTAAAGAATTACAAACCTGTTTCTTTTGCTAAACGATAAAATTTATCTTTCCGCTGCTTTCCAACTTTCTTTTTCTGTCCCATTTTGCCAATTTATTTGGCAGCCTTATTATAATTTTTTTCAACTGCTGTGTCACAGCACGTGCTACACTCAGTCCTACAGCTCACTTAGCGATGCTAGGCAACTAGATCCTCAACTTAGGCTGCGGCCTTGCTGCAGCATGATCACCACGTTCATCGACTCGACCAGGACTCGACCGACACTCGTGGACACTCGATGTTCACTTCATGGATGCTACGGAATCGCACAACCACACGAAACTCCATGCATTCCCACCATGGTGTTCGACCAACGTCGAACGAAAAACACATGAAGATCAAATTCACGATTGACACGAGTGCATTAGAAGCGATCCACAGTCAGCCAATTCAATTAACTTTAAAGACATGAAACGCTAAGACTCTGTACTACAATTTTATCCCAAAGTACAAATATTTGATGTTCGTATAACAGAGTTCAGAGCTGTAGAAGATGTGACATTTTCCTTCAGATGGATTCGAATGTTGGCTACATCGTTCATGACGTAAAGTAGCGTTGTGACGGCTGTGTTGTCTGACGGATAGTTTAGTAAACTACAGAGGATAGAACGATGAGGGAAGATGATGATGGCTGATCAGTTTCGGAAAGTAGAACAATATTCGCCAAAATCATCACCCAGAGGGGCTCGGTCCCCTGTTGTTTCACGTCAGGATTCTACAGGAACACTTAAAACGACGATTTCTTTGGGGAAAAATCCATCGATAGTCCATAGCGGACCCTTCTACTTAATGAAGGAGCCGCCAGGTAAGAATGGCCCATCTTTCCCTAAGACCAAAAACTATGTTTTGTTTGAGTTCTAATAAATGTACTTATATTTCCAGGCGAAAGTGAACTAACTGGAGCTACAAATTTGATGGCACATCATGGCTTAGAACATTCTTATAGTAAATTCAGCGGTAAAAAGGTTAAAGAACAGCTTTCATCTTTCCTACCAAATCTTCCAGGAATGATTGATACACCTGGACACCAAGACAACAGTTCTTTGCGCTCAGTGATTGAAAAGCCACCTATTGGAGGAAAAGAGTTGCTTCCATTGACAAGTGTACAATTGGCTGGGTTTCGTTTACATCCTGGTCCGCTTCCAGAGCAGTATAGGTATGTGAATCAAGCTCCTCTGAAGAAACACAAGAGTAAGCACAAGAATAAGCATAAACATAAGGCAGGTGACACCCCAAGTCAGGAAACACAAGTAGCAGAAATTGGACAGGATACCCATGAAAAGAAGCACAAGAAACGGGGACGTCATGAAGATGATAAAGAACGAAAGAAGAGAAAGAAAGAGAAGAAAAAGAGAAAACAAAAGCATAGTCCTGAGCATCCAGGTGGACTTACTCCAAGCCAACATTCCAATGGCTAAGAAAAAAACTATGTTGATTATGAAATGTTGAGAAAATGTTACCTCAAAGTATTTATGTTTTATGTAAATCCGTTTCAGTTTATTTGAGAGCTAGTAAGTTTTTTCAGCTTGTTGAGAAAGTGAATATGTACACCTGTTTGAACAGTTCTGTTTATTAAATGGTAATGTTTGTGTAATTTTACCAGAATATAAACAATTAAGTTGAGAAAATCCTTAAAATACATAATTTTCAGACAGCCCATCAGCCACTGGTTAATTTATATTTTTCTTTCTTTACTTTGTGTGAATTCTTATGTGTCTTAAGTGTAAGTGTAAAGAGGTTGCATCTTCAGTCTCATCAGAAAGTGTGGTATCAGACAAACTTCTAAGTCAATTACAGTATCCAGATTTGTCACAATTCTAAATCTGAAGTATGTCCATATTCTAAACAGTATAAGTGTATGCCTGTACATATTTCAACACAATTTTCAGTTTGTGGCAGAATGCAAGTTACATTGTTATTGTACAGTGAAATACAGAATTTTTATTTTAAACTGATGTTAATGTTTTAACTTTTCTCTTATGCCCTAATGCACCCTTTCCTTGTATTAAATTCCATTATCATTATTGCTATGACTTCTAGGGTAAACAGGCACGGTAAATTGAAAGCTTGAAAAAAAAAATATTAAATGAACTATAATTTAATTTTCAGCCAACATTACGCATAAAAATATATTGTTGTGCGTGTTTAGGAACTAATTGGGTTCTGTTCGCTATTACAATTGGTAGCGAGGGAAATTTGATGCTCACAAGAAATTACCAGTTAATGTACGCTTGGGTTTCTCTCCGATAAAAAGTTGTAATAATGATATTAAATATTTTTATCCATAATAATAGTTACTCACAATTGTTACTATTTAGTACACATAATAAATAATAATTTCGCTGAGCGGTATTTTATCGTTTTTATGTTGGTATTATGGTAACGCTTCGCCCTTCTTTGCCGAAACGGTCGAACCTACGCCGTCGTCGGGGCGCCATTTTTCTTGTCGTTCGCCTCTGGAAGCGTAAGGACGCCATTTGACGAAATGGGGGACAGTCGTGAGTATTTTATGTTTTCTTGTTTATCAGCGTTGTCCGTTTTTATAAGTTTGCATCCTCATTATGATGAGCTAACAAGATATTAATCTAGTTTGTCTGATGTGTAGTTTTATTGTTTTAAACATCAGTCGATCAATTTGCATTATGCCGCTATTTCTGATCAAAGTTTGAATATTCCATTTCTTGTAGATAATTGTTGTTTTATGTGGGTAGCAGTAGTTAGATGCATATATTTGTAAAGGAAGTGAACAGGATGAGGAAAAACCCTGCTCTAGTTACGCCTTCGAATTCAATTTATGTCGATCCAAAAATGCCGGGTGTGTTTTTGGTCGCATAGTCGATGCGAACGTAGGTAAGCTGAGCAAGGTTTTCCCATATTGCAGAGTACGGGAATTATAATTCAGGTGCAGCCTCGTACGGGAGTTATCCAGGATACTCTCAATCTGCGCCGGGAGGAGGCGGCGCAACAGGAGGCGCTCCTAATTATCCACCATCCCAGAACTACGATCAGAGTACTTACAATCAACAAGGATCATGGGGTGGTCAGCAGAACTACGGCAGTTATGGGACCAGTGGAGATCAATCGTCCTATGGTCAACAAGGTGTGTACACTGGCAAATGAGTAAAGTAGATTGCCAAGGGCAGTTAATTCACTTGAAATGTTGAATTATAGAAAAAGGTTAATAGGCTCTTTCGAAGAAAATAAGTAAGGTTTTGTGTGAAACTACTATATCATTATCTGGATAATTAAATTAATTTACTAATTCGATTCAGTGTCAATTGAATATTTAAACTCTTCTACAATTTCATATTGATAGATTGTGACTACTGATAGTTCAGATCCGAATTGATCTTATGTTCATTAATGATTTTAATTCATTGTTTTCTTGAGTTGTAATGAATCAGTACTGTGCAACACTACAGATAGGTGATAATGGTAGATTCATGTTTTTTATAATACCCTGAATGAAAAGTGGTTAGTAAAGTAATTTTTTGCAGGTGGAGGGAACTATCCATCATATGATCAGTCGTCCAACTATAACTCGAATCCTCCACCACAAGGAGGCTACCATCAGAACTACCAATCCCAACCCCCTTCTTATGAGCAGAATAGTGGAGCTCCTGGGGGCACTGTTCAGTATCCAAACTATAGTCAGCAGTCTTCTGGTGGATATAGCCAGCAATCTGGTTATAGTAATCAACAAGGCTACGGTGGGCAGAGTTATGGAGGTGCGGTAATACTTTCGATTATTAAATTGTTGTAGTATTTTGCAAGTTTATTATTAATGTTTGTTTTTCTTCCTCTAGGACCACCACCATCTGGCGGTGGCGGTGGTGGTGGAGGTGGTGGATATGGAGGATCAGGTGGTCGAGGTGGTGGCTACAAGTAAGTAGAATTCTTAATTTCTTACATGGGTGTAATGCATGGCAGTAATATGGGAATAGCAAATTTTAAGACAATGTCCAGAAAATTTTACTTTCATGATCTTATGAAAGAGTTCTTTCTTTATATAACTGGTGAAGTTAATGTTAAATTTTTGAATTAATGAAAACAAGGTAAAGAGTTTTGAATATCATGAACAGTGAAGGTGTAAAATGTTACTCTGAATTTATATTTGTTTAACAAAGTCCAAATGACAGATGTGGTAAGGAGATGTTAACATGACAGAAAGGGTGAGTTTTACACCCAGAGAATTCTGAACTTAAATTTTGAATGTGTTAAATTAACATTTTACAATATTGTTACTTATAAAGGTTTTGGGTTATATTGTGTTATGAATCTGTGTAATATGTACTGGTGTTTTCTGAGTCTACAGGTGCTCTCACTATGTTCTCTGTTCACATTTGTCTACCCTGGTAAAAGTTAGATAATAGACTAATATAAAAATAGGAATTTTGATACTCGGTAAAAAAAAATTGAAATATTAATTTTCAGTTAGGCTCAATCTATTTATTTATTTGTGTTCAAAATATTTATTCTGCATTTAAAAAAATTCAGCATGTATGATGTATTAAGGGTGAACTTTTTAAGATTAAAAGACTAGAAATTTGTTGTAAGGTATAGAGTGAAAATGGCAGCTCAAGGTACTCTCGGTTATGAGCATTATTTTAAAACATTAATGGTATGGTTAATAAAGCTGCCTCCCACCATGGGATACAACACGATAATATCAGTAAACATTGTGCCTTTTGAAATGGCTCATTTATGTGATTTAAAATTGTGACCTGGTCAGACAAATTTGTGTTATTAATTTCTTATAATACTACAGAGTTTTTCCGTGGTAATAAATTATCCAGTGTTTGGCCAGGATAATATTGAAAAATAGGACCATGGTACATGTATCACAGTTGGGATGTGGGTTATCCCTGAGTGAAAATTGCAGCTGACAAAAACTTTGGTAACTTGAGTATTGGGTTTGAAATCTAGGGTGAACAGTAATTACTTGTGTGTCTATGTGCATGTGGTCTACATTTCCATACAGACAGCCTAGTCAGCTGTAGGTATGTCAGGAGGCAGGCTCCAGTGCCCCTGGTTCCTGGCCTTGCTCCTGCTTCCTTGGTCACTCTTTCCCTGCCCTGAGCCCTTGAGCCCTGCCCTGAATCTAGCGTTGCCAGTGCTGCGCATATCAGGCCCTAAGCAGCCGGGGCCAGGGAAGGACCGTCCTCCACTGACTCGGAGCAAGTGATCGACTCTCGTACTGATTCAGTCTTTATGCTTCTGTTATAGCAGTGGCGGCAGGGGTGGTTATAACAAAGGTAAAAGCACCGAGCTCAAGCTCCGGTGCCATTTATTTGTTTTATTTTCAATACCTGTTATGTTATATGGTATAATCTCACTAGGGCTTGATAAAATAAAAGGGCATCTTTCTCTGAAGCAAGAAATACTGGAACTGCAAGAGATAGTTAAAACAGAATAATCATTGCAATGTTAATGTGTGGACTACTGAAGATCTTGGGAGTATTAAGTGTCAGTAAAAATTGTTCCAGAGGTATTTGCAACAGGAAAGTGCCCTAATTTCATTAAGGTTAAACTCTTAGATTTGCTGATGTTAGAGTGCTCAGAATTGGAGATCATTAACTGGGAAGTTTCTTGGGGTATATTGGGAGATTTATGGTAATAGCCCTGTAGGATCAAGCTCTGGTGAGCAGTGTGGATGTGAAATTGCTGTTTGTTGTAGTTGCTTGGTTTTACAAATCGACATTTGTGAAACAGCCATTTCTCATCAGCTGTATTCCTATCCATGCGATTGTATTGCCACCATAAGCCCATTGTATTGATAAGTGAAGTGTTCAGATACCAAAGTAACCTCAACCCCATGATCATAGGATCTCAGACCCTTTAAGTCGAGACTTTCAGTACATTTAATCTGCTTCCTGAGGGCTGCAAAGAAATTTTTATGTAGATGAGAGCAGTAATGTCAGGAAGGTCACAGTGATGTGCCTTTTAAGGTATCAGGTGATGTTCTCTGAACATACAGTATTGTGTACGTTGTCCTCGAGAGGGAAGAAACTTAGGCTGCCCATCTGAAGAGGGCCAAATGGTGTATGGGTAGATGAATGGAGAAAGATGGTAAATTCTGCTGGATGACGTGTAAAGATGAAACTTAATTGGTTATGGTAATGATGCCCTGAAATGGAAGGTTGTTCCATATTGCTTGTCTATCCATTCCATCATTCTCCTTCATCCAGTTAATTTTTTTTTTTTTTTTCCAATGCAACTGTTGTAAACATGCACTGAAATTATGCTTCTGAAAGTTTTTAAACAAAGGTGAAGTTGGTTCACATAGTGAGATGAAAAGTGTATATGGAAACTAGGTACTAGATTGCTCTGGTCAATTTGGAAATGGCTGGGGTATGTGATGATTGTCTGCACAGCTTTAGTCTGTTTCATGACATGGGGTTACTACACTATGGTTGTCCACCAGAAAGGCAGGGATACGTTTGTGTGGAATGTGTGTGGCACAGCAGTTTTCCTGTGTGGTATGCCCAAATGGTGGACTTGGTATCAATCACTATTTAGAAATATATTGTCCTGTTACTATTGTAGTATTTACAAATATGCAATGCATGTCAGTAGTAAAACACTTTACCAGCAGAAAAAGCTATGAAGTGTCATTAACCATTTCGGTCTGACTTGTACATTTCAGTGTTAGTTTCTTTACATTAATGCAAATTAATTCATATTAAAAATGGTTTGCTTGGGAATTGTATTTGTGGTATTAAGAATTCAAAAAGAGACCAAAATGGTACACACCATCAGTGTTAAAAACTTCACTTTTTTTGTTACTTATAGAGTAATGTTTGAGTATTGGGATTGTCTCCACTTTTAGTACATAATGTTTTAAAAACAGCCAGAGTTTATGTTAGTTAAATATTTTCTTATTATATAATAATTGGTTGATTCTTACGTTAACAGCTTACTAAAATAGTTACAACAATTAACATTGTATGTGGGAATATTTGTCATTGAATCAACTGTGTAATGATTGCAGCCATCTTTCTTAAACTCTGGTTGTGTTATAGAGTAAATTGGTTTTTTAATAGTAAGCAACACCAATGTGAAAATTAACTTTTAAGACAATGTTTTCCAATATTTTAAAAAATTACTATGAAAGTATAATATTTAGACTTATGAGTAGTTGTATGATACACTACCTTACATTTTTTAAGACAGTTGATGCTCTTTGTTCCAATAAGCCATGTGAATAAGTACTATTTAGGGAAATATAAATATTTTGTTAATTACCCTGAAATTGGTGGTTGCTTTCTAAATTACTTGCACTTTATTTCTAAGTTCAGTTTTTAGTGTTATCTTTACTTCAATGCCAACAATACATTCCAGGATATGGTGACCGGGGTGATATGATCGTTCAAGAGGATACAGTATTTGTGTCTGGGATGTCACCAGCTATGACTGAGGAAGACATTCATCAACATTTTGGTTCTATTGGTGTCATTAAGGTAATTATTGACTAAGAAATGTGTAGAATAACATTTTTAAAGCATTTAAAATATTTAGTGTATACACTGAATATTTGCAGACTGACAGGAGAACTGGCAAACCGAAGATCTGGATGTACAAAGACAAGATCACTGGAAAGCCGAAAGGGGAGGCAACAGTCACTTATGATGATTCAAATGCAGCCAGATCTGCCATTAATTGGTTTGATGGTATGTGGATCTAGATACCAAATAATTCTTTGGCTTTAGAGTTTTATCTCAAACAAGTAACTTTTTGTTTTAGGTAAGGACTTTAAAGGCTCCATCATCAAAGTTCAAATGGCTCAACATAAGAATAATTATGCTGCTGGCCGCAGTGGGGGAAGAGGCGGTCGTGGTGGCATGGACCGTGGCCGTGGTGGAGACGGAGGCCGTGGAGGTGGTGGTGGCGGCGGAGGAAGCCGTGGAGGAGACAGAGGAGGACCTGGAGGTGGTAAAGGGGGTTAGTTGTGTACAAGAACCTCAATTCAATATTTTTTACATTTTGTGACTTGAGGTCTAATTAATTTTTTTAAAATAATAGGATCTGGGAATGTAATTTGCACTAATGGACAAAGAAAACAATTTTCAATATTGTTCATTCCTTGCAGGATTTGGCAGAGATGGTGATTGGAAATGCCCTAACCCTGAGTGTGGTAACACCAATTTCTCTTGGCGAACAGAATGTAACAGATGCAACCAGTCTCGACCAGATGGTGTAGGTGGCGGTGAACCTGGTGGAGGTTTTCATGGAGGTGTGTATTGGGTTACATAGTTCATTGGAGTAGTTTTTAAATTATGAAACCCAATTTTAATTTCAATTTGTTGAAATGTGCACATTTCAACAAAGTTCCAAATTTTGAGATGTTAATGAGTTTTGTGGTCATGTTTATAAGATAAAATGTTCATCTATACCATGGTTTTTGTTCAGGCCGTGGTGGCAGAGGTGGTGGTGGCCGTGGAGGAATGGATAGAGGTGGCTTCAGAGGACGTGGAGGAGACAGGGGTGGTCGTGGCTTTGGAAGAGGTGGTATGGACCGAGGTCGTGGACGTGGAGGACCCATGCGTGGCGGGTAAATTATTTGTGAAGATGCTTTTGCATGCAGCTGTTCCATCTATCCTTGTATTCACAAATGTATCAATACTTTAGATGTTAAGATTAAACAATTATTATTATACAATACTTGTGAATTTTATATTACCTGCTTCAAAAATGTGTGTGAATATATTTTGTTGGGCTTTGAAAACGGTTTTAAGTGTTTGTTAGATGGAACAACAGGCATTTATTGGAATTGATGATTTTGGTTAAGTTGAATTCTAACATATTATGTTTTGTTTGATTTGCAGTGATCGTGGCCGGGATCGCTCCAAACCGTATTGAGTTTCTGAGCACAGTTTGTGACTTGCGTGCGTGTGTGCGAAATTGATATCAGTAGAGTAACCATTGACTATTGTGGTACAGGAATTATTTTCTTTTGTCTGTTAATTGTTTGATTTATTTTGTATATTGCAATGTCTCTTATGTTTTGTATAAGTACTGTATGGACGATTTTATCCTTGTCACAAATAAAAAAAATATTCATAATGTCAAAAACTCTTTTTATTTCCTTTATATATCCCATCCAATTCTAAGTAGTTTTAGGCTCCCAAAATTGTAGGTTGTTTACTTATAAATTATATTTACAAAGAATATCTATCGTTAGTGCTGGAATAATTTAGAATTCATTTGCAAATCATATTAAATACACAAATGAATGCAAAATTAGAGAAATTACCTGTGGGAGGGGGGAGTGTCGGTACTCTATACCGTTATTTTCCATGGTATGTAATTCTTTGGACTAAATTATGTCAGTCTTTGACCTTCAATAGTTCTCTGATCTTCCGCTCAGCTGTTTGCTCTGAGCTCTTGGAACGCTGGCGAGCCTCGACTCGGACGCCATGTTTGTTGGCAGTTGCCATCGGACAAAAACATTGTAAGCACGTGGGAAGAAAAATTGCTAATTTGTGCGTTATTGTGCCGTTAAGGTAACGTTTATATTACGTTCTTGTAGTGGAGTGTTTTTTAGAACACACAAGAAGACGAAGGAATTTGTCTCTTATTTACTAGAAACGTAAGTACGATTTCTTCAAGTTCCATCTGTCGGTGTTTTTAATTGTTTCCTTTAGGTTGACGAAGAGCCCCAAAATAGGGCAGTGAAGTGTCTGGAATTGTATTTTAAACTTCAACAAAATGTAAAAATATCGATATTTAAAATTGCTTTTAAAAAAGGGGGGCGGTTTGTAGACAAAAGTAAAAGCCTGAGAGCGGCTGAGAGGTTATTTGACAAGGAAATGATAAACTTATACGTGAGTGGTACATACTTTCGGGAAGATCTACAGTTTTGCTTTATTTGGCAGAGACATGCTTCTTTATTGAGAGGAACACATTAAACGCTCTGTTTTTCTAATTGTCCACCATTAAATCGCGATCATGTGAAATTTGCTTAGTGCGCCATTTTCGTAACGGGAGTTATTTTCGAAGATACTTGATCTTTGGAATGCCCCGAAAAGAGAAAGCGGGACAGAGATGGGCAGTGAGGCGCCGCAAGCAACAGGGCATGGAATTTTTCTGTCCTAGTAGTATCTCATGGGCACATAAAGGGTTGGCCGCCCTGCCGGCCGATCGCGTAGACGTTGCGTGCGTGCGGGGAGACCGCACCGACGTGACGTCAGGTCGCAGAACGCGTTCATCCCAGATAGCCTGGGTGCCTGCGGCGGTAGGTTGTGGGGCTGATATGATGCCAGAGCGTATCGCCCTGATTAAGATCCGAGGACGCTGAAGCGTCTTCTGATGACTGCCCTATTCCTTGTTTCCAAATCGCATACGGGTGTCTGGGTCGCGAAAGCAGTAATTCATTATCTCTTAGGGGTTTTGATTCTCCTTTCCTGATTGATTTATGACCATCTTAAACCGATCAGAAGTGCTCATTCTTCTGTTGTTTCTTATTTTTTCTTAATTTTTTACTTAGACGGTGTTTAATTGCTTTTATGTTTGATGCTTTACGTAAACAGAAATTAACAGCTACTCAAACCATTTCTACTCTTAATGCTCTTTTGTGCAGGTTTCTGGCAATGTCCATTGTATTCAATTTGAAAGCATGTTTGAACCCAACAAAATTAGTTTGCTGCAACATATGGATCCTTAGAATACCAATTCTACTCACCGCTGATTTACTTAGGTCTCAAAGTCAAGTACTTCATATTGAAAGTACCATGTTCAGTATCCTCTGTGTCACAAACCCATACAATTGATACATACTACCGATACAGCTTTTGTTTAATAGCTTGTAGAATTTCTCCCAACTGATTCTGCATTTCATTGAGAAACCTAGAAAATATTTTCATATGTGTTCTTCAATTACATTGGTATAATTTTAGGCAAATAATTTAAGAAGTGGATGTGGAATGATTGAAATCAAGATAGTGCATATCTGCACAAGATTGTTGCATGGTTTTGTTTCTTTGTTGCATAACTTTATCAGTTAATTTCATTTCTGAATTCATTAACACATAAACATTAACTTGATATTAATGAATTTTTTAGAAAAGATTCTGTAAGGGAAATTCTTCTGGGGTTGTAACCTTATTATTGAAATCTCACCGTAACAAATTCAAAGTTATTTTGATAGCATTGCCCATTCCATTGCTTCCCTTAAGGAGAGGAAGGAATAATTCTTTGTGAAGTAATTATCTGAAAGGCATTTATTCTTTTTAAAACAAAGATACATAATTTGCTTAAGATAAGCTGCAATTTGAGGCATATGCTCATTGAAAGGCTTAAAACCAAAGTATCAGTTGGAAGTCCATTGCAGGGGTAAGAAGTATGAATGAAAGTAATTTTTTATTCCTTGGAGTTGCTTCATTTGGAGCAAATTTGTCATTTATTTCAATTTTGAGTCTCTTAGTTCTTCTCATTTGAAGAAGTAATTTTAGCAATTGTTAATATTCAATGAGATATACTTTTATATTGTTTTTAGGTACATGGTAACAATGCCAAAGTAGTAAAGGTCAGGATTGATAGCTAGCAATGATAAATTGATTGATTAATTAACAAATGTGTACAAGATCTTTGTTGAACCTGTTTTAATGTACGGAGCGGAAAGTGAACCAATTGCAGAAAGAAACATGTATAGGATTGAAGCTGTAGGTATGGATTTTTTGAGAAGAGCCTCCAGGGTATCCTGACTTGAACATTCCATCAGTGAAGCAATAAGGAAAAGAACTGCAAAGACAGAGTAAATAGGAGACTGTATTCACAATAGCGAAAGGAAACTGTGAACTTGGAATGACCATATCATGTAAAGGGACAGGGAAAGGTATTGCATTTTTTCTTTACCAGCCCTTTAGCTGGAGAAAGAAGGGTAACTGATTCAGGGCTTTGAAAGAACAATGGGTGAGTGGAGCCAGAGTCAAGATCATCCAAAATAGAATTCTGTGGAAGCTGATATGCAACAGAAGCTGTATGACCCTTGCTTGATGACAAGGATTTCAGTTGAATTAATTTGTACTTTCTCGCATATTACATATGTAGTATACATGTTTCAGATGAAAAACAATGAACAAAAACTTTGAAATCATGATTACATTTTGATTTTTGACTCTGAAAAGGTTTTGGATCTTGCAGGCGCAACTACAACGTTTAATAAGTAACTGGTTGTACAGGGAAAGCTTGAGTGATGGATACAGATAAGTACTCACGGTCACTTCAGAAAGTATCTTGCTTACCTTCCTTTGCGAAATATCATGATTCTCTTTTGTTCTTTGAGATCAATGTTGTGTAAAGAGAGTCTAACATTAATACTGAATGAAATTTCAGTGCAAAAAACATGGCATTTTCCAGATGGGAAAGTATGATTAGATGATGTGGGAATGAAAATGAACATTGATAATAATGAGAATCAATAAGGAATCAATTAATGTTTCTGATTTAGTTGTACATTGTATTTCTGTCCTTAGTTGATGAGAAATATAAATGGCCTAACTAGCCATAGTTTTATATCGTAGAATTAGTTTATAAGCATTTGAATTTGGAAGAATTATTATATGAACTGTAAAATGAAGGAGGGGAAATCCAGTGAACCCCTATACTGTGCGAGATTGGTGGAAACAAAACAATTGACAAATAAGCAAGCAGAAACGCACATGTATTAACACAAATGCAAGTACACGACTACAATGTGCATTGAACGTGACGTATATTCAAGAAGTGGAAATATTTGCTCATATAAAAGCATAGAACTCGCGCAAACCACTCGGAAATCTTTGATTTATTCCATGTCGTGACCAGACAACACAATTTGTCGGCACAGTTGCAATGGAAAACTTACGATTTGGTATGTTCGAAGAAACTTCCATTCTTGGAACTGCACGTTAACTAGCAGCGATGCTTTTCTGGACGTCTAGTTGCACAATTTCTTAGATACTTGTCACTGCAACATCGCCTGCATTACACACCGGGATTCTGCTTTTTCTTTATATAAGTAGCCCTAGAGAGAAAATTAAAGGGTTTTAAGTCAGGGGACATTTTAAGCCAATGTTAATCCCTGCCACCTGCTCAATCCAACAATTTCGAAAACAATTGTCGTGATGTGTTTTGTTTTCCTGCATATTCATGAGTGTAGTCTTGAAAGTCATGATCTAACATGATCTTAATCAGGATTCTGTTAATAGAAAAGTCGTAAGTTTTAATCCGGTTACCGGGTATCAGTCAGTATAGTTAGATTTGAAAACTAACGCCCAAAACGCGTTTTGCATCATTATTCATGTGATTTGGAGTGTGTTGAGTGTTTCGTGCGTAGGGCAAAGAGTGTAAGCATTGGAACGTGGGCTTGTATGTGGTTGTGCTCCCTCCTATCAAATTTGCTTTTTTCTCCACATTTTCCGGCAAACTTTCACCTCCCTTCGCAGCAATGCCAGCTGAATTCGAAAATAAAGGGGCATTGAAACGTAACAGAAACGGGTTTAACTTCCCACCACGTCATATTTCTTCCTACTCTGCCACATCGTCAGTGCTTTTGCATTTAAGTCAATATGCCGCTGAAAATATGCGATTTTTCGACAGAAAAACTCATTTTGTGAGTCCGAAATCCCAAAAAAGGTGATAATTCTTGTTCATAATTGTAGTAGATAACTTCATCTATTACGTTGTATAGTTTAATACTAAAACCTGGGTGGCTTTCTAGTATCGACAAATTGGTTTACACCAAAATATATGCCTCTCCTCTGTGAACAACGTTAACGCCTAAACCGTAGGTAGAAGGTTTTTTTTTTTCAAAAATTGATATTTCCCAACCGATTTAACTGATGTCGCACGCAAACTGAATTTGAAAGGGATTTTTTTTGCGGTATTTTACTTGAAGCCTCAACATGAGAAAAAAACATGTATATAAAATTACGTAGGACCGATTTACCGTGAACTCGAATTTTTGAAAATTGATAAAGGTGAAAATAATGGGAGAAAGAATGTGCTGTTGTAGCAATTTTTTAAAAAGTTATCTTAACCGTGTATTTCAGATGTCATTTTAATTAATTACATTTTCGCCTTGTGTACCCTG